ACATAGGTTCAGGGAATGTGCAATTAAAACTGCACATAGGTTCAGGGAATGTGCAATTAAAACTGCACATAGGCTCAAGGGGAATGTGCAATCAAAACTGCACATAGGCTTAGGGAATGTGCAATTATTAATAGAATACAAGAATGCAAGGCCTGTTAAGAATAATTTAAAGGTCCTGTTGGTGCATCACTCGTGATCATACTTGGTCTCATATTTATTCTGTTCTATGGTGTTTGTTTATGTGGTGCTTTGTGTTGTGTTGTCCTGTTTTTTGATAAAGCATGTTACCCCCTGTCCCAAGACAAATTTCTCCAATGGGAGACAATAAAGGATTATCTTATCTTATCAGGCCGACCTACTGTCTGTAAATGTGACGCAAAGAGTCAGAATAACAATAAATTTTGTCTAAATAAACCTAATTTAAAATCCACTAGAACCAAACCTGAGTTTTTTAAACAATTCAAGATTTACAGTGAATTTTTACATCACTAAATATATCGGTGATTATATCGGCTATCGGCAGCCCCAACTCCGGTTTTATCGGTATCATATCGGCCACAACAAAATCCATATCGGTTGGCCCCTAATTTTGTTACACAACCTTTTGATGCAGACTCTGCAAACAAATTATTTCAGTCACTGTCAATGACACTTCTGCACTGATCAACTGGTATTCTGACCCATTTCTCGTGAGTAAGACAGCATATATATGCTGGCTCAGACCTCGTCCGGCCAAACAAGGTCTGCATAAGGTGCTGGGGAACCAGAGCACCTTGATGAAAAATTGGCAACTGGAACACAGAGGAAATGGGTGAGATGTGAGAACAAGGCTCTGTTGGAATGCTACTACTACAGTACTACTACAGTAACCTGAGTCAGTGGGTTACTGTTCCGACATCCACAAACGGAAACTGCTATCACCACTAGAGATTGACGAGGTACAACACAAATGCTACGGCAAGAGGGAGCCAGGACGCCAGGTCAGAGGGGAGTTAACAGCCCCAATAAGTATCACGCTGAGCAAGGCAGCGACTGACCTGAAAGATAAGATCATGGCCCGAATAAATGCAAGGCAACCCCAATGCCAGTTACAGAGGTTAAGTGAAGTACCATCTGAAAGTCTCCTAGAAGATGTGAATGCAGCAGTGAGAGCGATCCCTACGACAACCATCACTGAAAACAATGAGCTGATGTACACTTCAGCAGCAGTGATCCTAGAGGTGCTGGGCTATAAGAGCAACCATGGGAGCCATGAGATACAATACCCACCATGAAAAAGACGGTTAGAGGCTAAAATCAAGGAGGCACGAAGAGAAGTGAGCCAACTGTCAGAGGCCCAAAAAGGTGCAATGAAAAAGCAAGTACCCAAGAGATACAACCAGATGCCCATACCTGAAGCACTCGAAACTGCCAAACAAAGGCTCCAAGCCTTGGCCAGCTGCCTGTACACACAAGATAATGAAGCAAAACAAACAACACAACCGGCAGCTCAATGGCATGGTAATAACACCAGAGCAGACTCACCAAAGAGGAGACTGAAAGGTACTGAAAAGACATATGGGTCATTCTATGCCATTTCACCAAATGGCCCTGACATGACATGACATGACTTTATATATATATATATATACACACACACACACACAGACTAATGAAAGAAAAATCAACAATGGTCACTGAAATAACTTGAAACTGAGAAAAGTAATAATAAAAAAAAAATTCCTGAAAAATAACCAATGAAAACCAGACACTGTTTTTTAATTGTTGTTCAACAGAATTATTTACAAAAACAAACTAATGAAACTGGCCTGGACAAAAATGATGGTTCCCCTACAGAAGATTGTAAGTAACTGGACAATATGGACATGTTAAACTTAGGTGTGTCTCTAATCTGCATCACAGGTGTTTTCAAACTTGTCCTTGGCCAGTCTGTCTGTTTAAAGGGAGACATGTGTCATTGTGCTGTTTGGAGACATGATGGACACAACACTGAACATGGACCAGAGAAAGAGACTAGAAAGAAAATGATAGACAAACAGGTTAAAGATAAAGACAATAAGACCATCTCCAAGCAGCTTGATGTTCCTGTGATTACAGTTACAAATGTTCTTCAGAAGATTAAGCTCCACAGGACTGAAGTCAAGCTCCCTGGACGCGGCCGCAAGAGGAAAATTTATGACAAATTGAATTGATGGATCATACGAATGGAACCAAAGAGCCCAGAACAACCTCCAAACTAATTAAATGTGAACTTGAAGGGCAAAGTATATCAGTGTCAGATCACACCATCCATCAGTGTTTGAGCCAAAGTGGACTTGCTGTGAGGACACCACTGAATTCAATCAGTGTATACTGACAAGCCACAAAGATTCTGGGAGAATGTTCTTTGGACAGATGAGGCAAAATTGGAGCTCTTTGGCAAGACACATCAGCTCTATGTTCACAGACACAAAAATGAAGCGCACCAAGAAAAGAACACTGTCCCTACTGTGAAGCACAGAGGAGGCTTGGTTTTGTTCTGGGGCTGTTTCGCTGCATCTGGCACAGGGTGTCTTGAATCTGTGCAAAATACAATGGAATCTGGTATTTTGGAACGAATGTGTTGCCTAGTGTCAGAAAACTCAGTCTCAGTCGTAGGTCATGGGTCTTCCAGCAGGATAATGACCAAAAACAGCAAAAAATAGACAAGAATGGCTAAGAACAAAACATTGGACTGTTCTGGAGTAGAGTGTTCTTCTGTGAGCCCAGATGTCAATTCTATTGAACATCTGTGAAATGAGCTGAAACATGCATCTGGAGAAGGCACTCTTCAAACCTGAGACAACAAGAACAACAAGTTGTTCACATGGAGGGGGTCAAAATACCAGCTGACCAGCGCAGAAGTCTCATTGACAGTTACAGAAATCATTTGTTTACAGAGTTTGTCTCAAATGGGTGTGTAAAAAAGTTAAGGGTACCATAATTTTTGTCCAGTTTCATTATTTGAATTTTTATTTTTTTTTCTAATAACCAGTTAAAAAGCAACATTTGATTTTTGATGGACCATTATCAGTAATTTTTTATTTATTATTGTTTTTCTTAGTTTCATGTTATTTCAGTCATCATTGTTGATTTTTCTTTCATTACCAGCGCACTTGTCATTGACAATGGAGACCACGGGTGCGTCACTGGACGCAAGCACTTTCCAATGATATATATATGTGCCACTATAGGTATATTGTTATTGTTCTGTTTTTTCTTATTATTATTATTAATCCTGAGTGCCATGGGTGGCGTAGGGCCTATTGTTATTGTTCAGCAGTGCGAAGCACTGCCACGCTGCATGCACGGAGTACGCACAAACAGAGTGCGAAGCACTCTCCCCTTATCAATCACTCAATGACACTCAATAGTGACACTCATGGCATCCAATAGTACAGACTGGCACTGCCCATTGCCGCGACAGCGGCATAATTGTAATCGTTAACCCTTGTAAACTCCAAAAATGTGCATTGGGTATGTGAGTAATAGGTCAATGACAACCCCACAGGTGCATTACTGGACGTGAGCACTTTCCAATCACATATATACAGTCGTGGACAAAATTGTTGGTTACCCCTCTTATAATGAAAGAAAAATCAACAATGGTCACTGAAATAATTTGAAACTGAGAAAAGCAATATTAAATAAAAAAATTCCTGACAAATACCCAATGAAAATCAGACACTGTTATTGAATTGTTGTTTAACAGAATTATTTAAAAAAAACAAACTAATGAAACTGGCCATACAATCTCGGGAGATTGTATGGAACAGAAAAATTTTACTTTTTTGTATACATACAAAATTTGGTACATACATTTGTGACCTGTTCTTAATGATAAAAGTCAATGACGCCAACACTCCATCTCCTATTGTGTTGCCATGCAACAGGTCAAATATTTGTCCTTGCCAATAGGACGCCCAACAAAAAGTATAAGAAAGTGACCACACCCCCTCCCAAACCGGAAGTCCGCCATCTTGGATTTTTAAAAAAAATCAACACATACAGAAATTGATAAAAAGGTGTAGGATTCGGTTAAGATTAGGGGTTAGAGTTAGTTTTGGGGTAAGGTTAGGGTTAGGGCTAGGGTTCGGGTTTGGGTTGAGACTCGAGTTAGGGCTAGAGTTAGGGCTACAGTTAGGGCTGGGGTTAGGTTTAGGCCTAGGGTTCGGGCTACAGTTAGGAGTTCAGGTAGGGTTAGGGGTTAGTGTTAATTTAGGAGTTAGGGCAAGGGGTAAGGTGCATTCGTGGGGCACGGCATGTGCAGGGCCCAGCATGGCCAGGGTGCGGCGTGGCGTAGGTGCGGCATAGGTGCGAGCGAGGGCCAATCATTGCCGCTTGCAGCTATTATTATTATTATTATTATTATTATTATTATTATTATTATTATTAATAAATGAAAACAAGCTGAGTTAGCCGGGTGCTTCAGTTCAATGTGGTGTTTTAAGTTTGCTGTTGGTGTTGCGAAAGTGAAAGCCGACGGGCCAGCGGCAAAAATGTGAGGTTATACTCTTTCTCAACGACCTTGTCATAGAGCTCTTTAAAATGTTCATATGATGATTATATATATGACGATGACAGATTTAATGTTTTTTTCTGCTAAATAGTAAGGGCTCTTTACAGTGTGTTTAGCCGGGTTTTTGCCTGGAACACTAAAGAAATCTGGCACCCTGTTGAACAAAGTTAAATAGAAGTACATACTGTTCACATACACCAGAATGAACACGTTCACAGGTCGTTCATCAGGTAATACAGTGCATTCAATTCACTGTTACTAAAAATATGAACAAGTTCATGAACTATTGTTCAATGAAAGCATTCACGTAACAACACTGCTGATCCTATTACCTCCATAGAGTCATTACAGCAGTCTTGTATGAGTGTGCCAGTATTTTTGCCTGACATGGCATGCAGCACTGCACTGATTGTTAGGAATGGTTTTCACAGGCTGAAGAAGACCAAAACTAAGAACCACTGACCTGAACTGGAGTTGACGCTCTCATTCTCAGACACTGGCTGGTCCCCGGAAACCCAGGGATCAGAAGGGGAACAGGCAGTAGTGAGGCCATCCAGACTGGAGGACACACAGGAGGTCAGGGGCCTGCCTTCAGAGCGCTCTGCACTGGCTGTCAGGGGCCCACATTCAGACCTATCCAGACTGGCAGACAAAGAGTCTGTGTGGAAGTTCACATGGGAGCGCACGCTGGCGGTCAGTGTATCCTCGTCCTGGCCGCTCCCGGTACTGCTGTCACTCTCCAGCTCTGAAGCCATCAGCATTTGCACATCTGCAAACAGCAGAGGAGGGAGGGCATATAGCAAAAAATGTATCCCTTTCTCACGGCTTAGGTCACAATTAGCTTTTCACAGTTCAGATGTCACTTGATCCTCTTCATTTGTTTTACTGTGTGACCATTGGCAGTAAGTCGAGAAAAGTAGACTGCAGTTTCTGGGCCCCCAGTCTTAGTGCCAAGCGCAAGTGGGTGTGTCCAGGTGGGGCTGTACTTCGCTGCTGGAGGCTGGAGTGGGAGGGTACAAGTACATATATTGTGACGGCATCTGAACCAATCTGTGACCACTGTGGCATTTAAAAGCACTGCCAGTGTGGGTAATGTCTACAATCTTTGCCTCATTATCAGGCAGCAGACAGCTCCAGAGCTCCACGATGCAAGTACACACCAGCAGAGGCACCAGGAATATAGAATTTTGTATAGGCCATGACAGAATTGACTGGGTTTGTGTTCCAAACTAGAGCCCTGCCAACGCAAAATAGTGCAGCGCGGGACACATTTTGAAAGCTCATTGTGGGCGCGGGCAGGAACTGGCCTGCACAACATGGGAGTGGGCATGTGGGATGATAAACTGCAATTCTGCAAACTAAATATGAGTATAAGTAAAATATATAAATGATGAATGTAAGAATATCATACATCATTTGTGCTGGATATTTTATTTGGCCTTAATAAAAACACTTTAAGCAGCCTAAATTTGCGTATGTGGTCTAATCTCGCACACATTTTAGACAATCCCTTTCCCTTTCTCCGTGTTTGATAAAGCTTAAGAAAGCAAACGCCCCCATCTTGCAGGACTTGCGGGTGGGAGCGGGACAAAATATCACAGATGCAGGTGGGAGCAGGACTGAAAATTACAATTCTTTGTGTGAGCCTTTAATAAACCTCTATTCCGAACACTTCACACACACGTGCGCCCCTCTCATGCATGCGCACTGCTATAAGCTCCTGCATGCACGCGCACATCAACCTTTAGGCGTAAGACCAGTGTCTGTCTCATGTGCTCCCCATCACACAGTAGAGCTGCTAATTTCTCGCTCCTGCTCCCGCCTGTCCTGCAGTCCGCTCCCACGGACTCACCTGAGGTACGAGTGACCACGGCTACTACTGCTGACCGCTCACATTCTCGTCTCTCAAGTCCACTGCATTTGGTCCCACACATGCGGAAGTCTCGCAGATTATGGAATACATTTATTGTCATATAAATGTTTCTGATGTTACCACTTTGCGCACAGATATGAGATGTGCATCTGCTCCACTGTCACAGCCTCGAGCTGTCAGTGAATGCACGCGGTGATCCCTGAGTGCGACCGCAAGAATGTGAATAACTCGCAGCATTAGGACTACAGACAGGGTAAGAAAACACACTTCAGGACATCGCTGTAAACGGCCTCAAGTGAAGGAGCAGCTTTTGTACCGATCTAGATCAAACCAAACTACAGAGCAGAGCTGAGCCGATACAGGGAGCGGGCGAGGGGCTGTGCTCTGCTGCGGTAGGGCATCCGGACGGCTCCCGCACAGCACACGAATATGTTATGAATATTAAGCATTTATCATCTTAATATATTTCCACATAAAAGAAGCCCTGAGCATGTTACATGTTGTTTTTCAGTGAACTCCTTTGATATTTATTTTTACAATTCTGGCAATTCACTTTTAGTGCCACACCTGCCCTCAATCTGCTCCACTGCACCTGATATTCAGGCACAGCACACCTCTGGTTTAGAACTCCACACCCCATACTTGCGCTAAGTGCTACGACTGGGGTCAAGATCGGGCCCTCTGTGTTTGAGCATAGCACCATATTAAACCAAAAGCACTGAATAATAAATAAATAGAACCCTCACTCCAGACCATATAACTATGCAACTCACAATACAAAGAACAGACATATATTATTTTACATTTAAACAGAGATTTGTAGCCTGAAACGGTTTCAAAAAGTTCTACAAAGGTGACAGGACCTGTGTTGCCAATCTTACATACAGTGGCACTGCCACTTCACAGTATTTTATTTTTTAAAAGTAGTACCAGTGAAGGTGGCAGGCACCAGTGTGAGCAGGATATGCTGGGAGCTGATGGACTTGGCGTAGCACCTCCACTGAGGAGAGGAGTATGAAGCAGGCAGCAGAAGCTCCTCCTCCACCAGCTCTGTAGTGCTGAGACTCTGACAAAACACAAGACAATGTATAGCAGTGTTAAATCCTACATACATGGACACAATTAGCACATCATGTCTTTTAGAGTCACAAGCGTATATATTGTGTAGGGTTGTCAAAAGTATAGAACTAGATACTAGTACCAAAACCTGATGGTGGCACGGTGGCTGAGAGGTTAGTACTCATGCCTCACAGCAAGAAAACCCAAAAAAATGCTACACAGGTTTCCAACAGTTGATAGTCAAGGTCAGTTAATCTAGGGACTATAGGTGGAAATTATCACTGATGCTACAACCTGATGTACAATGCATTTCTCCTGTAAAAGGTTAATGTAAAAATTGTGCAATGTCCCTGTCTCAAATAAATAAATACTCATTTGAGCAGGTATCTATACTAAAAAAGTCACATTCATTCTTTCACTCGTTGAGCTGTATCAGAACAAGCAGAAGAGCACATAAACTAGTATACGCCCATGCACACTATGGAACCTACCTGAACCACTGAGGGATTACACACATGTACTCTCGTGGCCATAGCAGTTTGTCAAAGACTGATCCCGTTAGATCTCAGAAGCTAAGCAAGGTTGGGCCTGGTTAGTACTTGGATGGGAGACCACTGGGAAAATCAGGTGCCACAGGAGGCGCTAGTCGTAAAAAGCTGTTGTTGTGTCCTTAGGCAATGAGGGTGAAGTGTCCTGCCTAGTATGAAAGTTGTGTGTGTGAGTGATGGTGCAGACTGGCAGCCTTGCTTCCATCAGTCTGTCCCAGGGCAGCTGTGGCTACAGTAGTATCTTACCACTACCGGGTCTGGAGTGAATGAATAATGCTCTGTAAAGCATCTTTGAGTGTCCAAAAAATAACTATATAAACTGATGCATAATGTAAGGCCACATTGGGAATATAAAAAAGTACCACAATTTAATGCTGAAAATCACATTCTATGGTCTAAATAAAGACAAGCAATTCTTTATTATCATTGTGGTATCATAATCAGTTTGAGTATCGAGTTTGTTCATTAGTATCAAAAAAGAGTTTGAAATGTTGGTATTGTGGAGTTTCGGCAGTACACACAGACAGCAACTGTAGTATGTATAAAAGAAGATGAAACTAGGTTTATGACAGAAGTCACATAAGAAGCATTACCTGCAGGGTGCTGGTGGAGCCCATCACCTCTTTACTGGCTCCGCTAGTGTGGAGGTTATCTGTGTCCTGTTTGCCCCGTGCCTGGACCCGCTCCTCTATAAGAAGAAGCAGAAAACACGTCATTCTACACATCACGCACACACACGCAAGCCCTGAGCACTTTTATGAGCCTTTAATAAAATAATACTATTATTTAAAAGATGGGGTAATTATTTTTTTGGAGCTTTCTATCATGTTATAACATTGTTCCCTTATTAAAAACATGCAGTTTTATATGCATGTTTGAGTAATCTTGTGATTTTTCCCAGGCCCTGTTCCATATGGTTAACTGTATGATTCTGAACAAGGCTACAAGCCTACATTATTTATACGCCTACATCCATAAATATAAAAAGCACAATACAATACAATACAGTACATTACAGCTTCACAAACCTGATGCAATGTGCATCAATTTCATTTGAGAGGCATACTGTAATGCAATAGTGTCAGTCCATATGAAATCAGCTGTTTTCAAGGAATCTCCCCAATGAGCCATCTCAGATTTGGCTGATAAAAATTCCAAAAAATTTCTAAAATTACCAAATGAAAAAATCTCAGATTTTACCTTCAGTCTTTCCTGAATTATGGCCCGTTGAAATTTTGGGGCCATGCCCACTTTTTCAGAAGCCTTAGTTTATAAGCATTTTTGAGAGACCATAACCTGAAAACTAGAGCTAGGAAGTTGAAATTTGTATTATTGTAGATTTTAGGTCATAGATTCTAAATCTGTTGTCTAATATTAGGTATCTTTATTAAGGGGGGAGCTGTGGGCTCCCAAATCTCAAACTCGGTTGATGCTCAATTATTTTATTTTATTTTTTTTCAATTTTTGAGGTCCGAGATCTTTTTATTCCAAGCAGATATTTACAATGGAAAGAATGTCCATTTCTGACAGCAATCTATCTATCTTATTCTTTTTCCACCTGCTAGAAAGGTTAAGTTACCTTTAATAGCCTTAAACATCTATGACCTAAAATCTAAAATAATACACACTTTCAACTTCCTAGCTCTATTTTTCATAAAGTTATGGTCTCTCAAACATGCTTATAAATTAAGGCTAAAAAGTGGGCATGGCCTCAAAATTTCAACAGGCCATAACTCAGGAATGACTGAAGGTAAAATATGAGATTTTTTCATTTGGTAAATTTAAAAACTTTTAGGATTTTTTTTCAGCCAAATCTGAGATGGCTCATAGGGGAGATTCCTTGAAAACAGCTGATTTCCTATGGACTGACACCTTTTGGTCATTTTTGGTTCACATTATCCCGCTCTACATGATCCTGGTGTTTTTTTCCACTTTTTTGGCTGTCCTTGGCTCCAGATTCACTCCTACAGCTGCATAGCGAGCTTCACTTGAGTGGCGCTGAACACTATGGGTGATGACACACTCGCATAGTCCGCTTCTTTATACAGTCTACGGGAGCGCCTCAGTGCTGACCTGTGCTGGGTGGTTGGCAGAATGGTGGCGTGTGCCCGTGGCGCTCTCTCTGGAGGATGTGTTGGATGAGGGCGGCGTGGTCAGGCTCACACAGAGGTACCTCCCTGTCGCTCAGCTCCTGGGATAGGCTGGTGTGGAACAGGCTCAGCAGCAGTTCATTGGGCACACAGGGCTGGGGCTCCGAGCGCTGCAGTGCTACACACACACACACGCACGCACACACACAGTACACACAGTACACACAGTACACACAGCACACGTAAGAGAGGCTCTGTAATCTGCACATGTCTACATCATACCAATGGATTTGGTGAAGTGATAATCTGGATTATTCAGGGCACAATAACATGCTAAAAGACAACATAATTTAATTTAAGGCATTACAATTCAATTTACAACTCAGTGCATACTTATATATTAAGACGTAGACTCAGACAAATTTTATAGATCCACAAGGGAAATGATTTGGACACAGAAGCCCACTCATCATAATATAATAACAAAGAGTAAAAAATGTAAATGGTAATAATAAATTCTAAAATACATAGCAAAACAATAGCAAGAGGCACGTGTCAAATAAGGCATAATTATATAAATGTATATGTACAAGTCAAAATAAAATAGAAAAATAAGTAATAAAATATAAAATCTCAGCTATATACAAGAGGTCATAGGACAGCAATGATATGATGGTTGACAGGACACAGGGTTATCTGTTCCATAAGAGTGAGTTGCTGTACAGTTATAGGGAGTATTATCTGTTACATAAAGGTGAGTTGTTGTACATCTGTATAGAGTATGGTATGAATGTATTCTTTTATCTCTCACTGTTTGAGTGGAGCTGAAGGAGCCTGTTGGAGAATGAGCTCCTCTGACCCTCAATAGTCCATGATGGAGAGCAGTTTGTTCAGTGTCCTCGTGTCCCTCACTGTGACAAATGTCTCCAGCTCACAGTCAATCACGTGAGCAGGTTTATGGATCATAATTAGGAGTTTTTGAAGTTCTCTGAATGCAAGCATCTGGGCTGGTGTGACAATTTTCCTGTAGAAGCCATGTATGAACCCACCATTATTTTACTAATTCACTTCACACTGCATCTATATTATTTGGTTTGTCCCCATATTTTCATCACTGAGCAACCCGAAGTAGCCTGTGCCAAGTGCCCAGCAGAGCTCATCAATTCCCAACCAGGGCCAGGAGACCGGATGCACCGCATAGCCAATGGTGCTTCAAACCATAGCACATAGCATGGACAGAGGCATAGATGGACACTTTGCACCTACTCATTCATGTGGGATTTGTGTGGATAGCTCTCTCTTTCTTGTCTTTTTACAAGAGCAGATACAGAGTCAACTTTAAAACTCATAATTATGATTTTTACACTCATAATTATGACTTTCTGTGAGGCTTTATTTTTTTATTTACTGGCAGGAATGGGCTTCCATATGCCCCTGTATAGATATGTGGTAGGAGCTCTTGTTCTCAAAGTAAATCAACTGCGTACTGTCTGAACATAATTATGGAGTGTTTTATTGCTTGATAATCAGGAAGTGCACTGTTAGCATGCTAGTTCTTGTTAGCTTTACCATTACAGTAAAGTCCACTCTGGTCTCTAAAAGTTTTGAAAATCACTTATAACCTTGAGAGGTTCCTAACCAGTGGCAATGAGCTATGAGGCATCCCACTGTGCAGACCAAATCAAAAGTTTATACACTGCATCAGATCATTTATTAAAAGCTTCTGCATAAATAAACTCAACTTTGTATTATATAAAGCATAACTGCTATAGAGCCACATCAGACCATTTGATGTTGTAATCCTGTTGCATCTTTTCATGTATTTGTTTTTCAGAGACAAAACTTAAAGCCACATGACAAATTTATATAAAGATCAGCAGTGGCAGAAAGTCAGAGTGGCCTCTCCCTTCTTTAAATCTTTATGATGGCTGTAAAGACTGAATGATAGAAATAGACAGTGGAGCATAGGCGAGGATGGTGGAGGATGGTGGAGGATAGTGTGCTTGTTGTAGTCAGTTTTCTGTGAGTTGTAGTTTTTACTGAGCAGTTGTTGTTCCCACCACTGGTTAGGAGGATTTGGCTCCACCAAAAGCAACAATAGTTCCTCCTCCTCACAGATCCTCCTTGGTCTCTAGTGTTGACCTCATGACATAGCTCTCAGAGATCAAGGCAAGGACAACAAAGGACAAGGAAGGAAGTATTTTTACCTAATTTCAGATTGAGTTTACCTGTGCTGAAAGTAAGGAAAAACAGCTCCACCTGCTGGCACCGGGGCAACAGCTGCATCAGATCAAATTGAAAAGGGACCATGTGGATGCTGTCATCGAAGCTTGTGTGGTCTCCTAAGGACACAGTTACTATGAAATACCAATCACATACTGTGTACATACCAATAACTACATAAACAAAGGCCAAAAGCAGTAATACAGAGTGTGTAATATGACTACAAAATGTAATGCTATTAATGTAAAGCTAAAGTTATCAAAGGTATTGAAAATACTAAAATTAGTACTGAAACTGCCTAAAATGCCTTTCCTGAATAGCTTTAAAATGATCTTGAGCTGCATAAGAACAAGTAGAAGAGCACATAGACTAGTATACACCCATGGACCACTATGGAACCTACTGGACCACTGAGGGATTACACACATATAAAGCCACAATATAAAAGAAAGAACTTAATTGTCTAAATAAAGAGTTTTTTATTATCATCATTGTGCTATTGGAATCTATTCCTTAGTATTGAAAATATGTATAGCATGTACTTTTCCGTGTCCTGTAGATTATTTGACCTCAACTTGCTAAGGGACTGAAGATGGAAATTTGCCACATTGGCTATAATCTTCACATATTTACATTTTAAATGTTCATTAATATGTGCTGACCCTTTACATATAAAATATATATAAAATACAAATAAAATGAGAAAATAGTTTCATGACAACACTAGAACTAACTTATGAGGTTTTAAAACATGACCATTTCTGGTGCCTTACCTGTGACCTCCTGGACTGTGGGGGGCAGTGAACACACCTGCTCCTTGTTGTGGCACAGCTGGTTCAAGTGCTCAAAGGTCATCATGGTGGACATGCAGGCCAGGTCACCAGGAAAGATCTGAGCAATTACACAGAATGGTCATTCTTATGGGGACTCGCAGTGAAGAGTTCTTGTACCTGATTTTTTGTACCTCTAGTTGAAAAAAGATTAAAAAAAATAAATAAATAAAAAAGCACATGGATTGCAATGATAGTATTACTGTGATGGCAAAATTCTGCTTTGGTCTTTGAAAGTTGTGAAAAGAGCTCAGAAAATTCTTTGAGGTAAATAGTTCTGCCCAGACAGTGTTTTAAAGGTGATTTAGCAATAGTGCAAATCATTTGTACTCCATTGTTTGATACAAGGCTTTAAAGGCAGCAGATGAGGCTTATTGTGCCTTTTATTGTTTTGAAAATTCACCAAAAACATGCTTTAGTTTCACTTTAGTTTACCTTTGCTTTCAATCTCTGGGGGTATTCCATGAGGTGAGCTAAAGTGAAAGTCTTGCTTATTTGAGCAATCCAGGCTTGTCAAAGCCTAAATTCCCTTCCACCAAAGTGACTAACCAGAGTTGACACTGAGTTGCCGCAGTAACAACCGCCCAGGCACAGACTTGGTCAGGACCAGGCTAACCATCAAGATTATTTTAGCTCTGTCTGCAAGTACTAAAGTTCTAAAGAAGCACTTTAGTCATAAGTTTCGGCATGCACATCACACACCTGTATTAGAACTAGGGCTGGACAAAAATAAAATATGAATCGCAATTAATCACATGTTATACGCAAAACCATAGCGCACTTTTATTGAAAATGTAAATGAAAGAGCCAAACATTTGTTGTGAAAACAGTATTTCTTTCAGAGGGGAACCCTCAGAGCCTTCAAGGTATTCAGTGAAGGCTCAAGAAAAAATATTGAATGAATTACTACTAATATATTTTTTCTATATTTTTTATTTAGTGAGTAATAAACACTACTACTAGTAATAATTCTAGATCATTGTTATAAATTTGGACTAATAGTTCTTGGGAAACAAAGGGTTAATATAATGGAATGGAAATTGATTTTTCCATTTTTCTTCCATTGGTATCTGGGTAAATCCACTACTCACAATAAGTTAGGGATATTGTGAGACAGTCAGTGAATGTCATATATACGGTGTTTGTTTCACTTCGTAAATTTTTGGGATAGTGAGGCAATGGTATTGGGGTGGTAGACACACCTCATTTTGGGTTTTCCACGTAATAATCTCACTGTGTACAGTGTGCCTTACATACTGGGGCCAAAAACCCTTTTCAATGTGGCATCAATTTCAACATTCTGTGGGTATAAAAAGCTGGTATTGTCAAGTCATTCGAAGTTCACAATTCAAACAGCCATTAACACACAACGTCACTTAACAGACGAGCAGCGCCACCTAGCCACAGCGCGCCTTTGGGTCGGTGGCAGGCAGTCAGATGTTGCTCGTGAGCTTGGTGTGTGTCAAAGTGTCACCAGCAGACCTGCATCAAGACACAGAACTACTGGCAGAGTTCGTGACAGACCCAGGAGAGAAGCCTCATGAGTGACAGATCGCAACGATGAAAAGTACCTAAGGACCTATGCACTCAGACATCGTTATGCAACTGCCACACAGCTGCAGGCCCATGTACGAGATGTGAGGGGTACTAGGGTTTCCTGACAAACCATTTGAAACCGACTCCACCGCTTTAGCTTGAATGCCAGACGACCGTTGCAGGTGACTCCACTGACACCAAGACACTGCCGTGAACATTTGCAGTGGACACAAGACCATGTGACCTGGACAATGCAGCAGTGGTCTACCATCCTGTTCACTGATGAGTGTCGGGTCACTTTGCAGAGAAACGATGGACTGTCAGTGTTGCTGGAGAAGGCGAGGTGAGCGATATGCCGAGGTCAACACGGTCCCCAGGGTTCACTTTGGTGGAGGAGGTGCAACAGTTTCGGCAGGCATCACCAGTCAGCGCAAAACAGATTTGGTTATTGTCGATGGCTCAGTTATTGCACGTTCTTACCTCAGAGACATCACAGAACCCATCATCATCCCCCAATTCCGCCAGCACACCCCCAACTTTCTGTTCATGGATGATAATGCTCCACCACATCGTGCCATAATTGTCACAGGTCATCTTCGGGAAGTCGGAGTGCCTCATATGGTATGGCCAGCACTGTCCCCTGCCCTGAACCCCATACAGCACATCTGGGACCAGCTGAAGCAGAGACTGGACGATCATACCCCACCCCCACGTGACCTAACAGAACTGCGTGTAGCACTTGTGGAAGAGTGGAACGCATTGCCTCAGAACAACATCATGAGGCTTGTGAGGAGCATGAGACGCCGTTGTCAAGCTGACATTGTGGCAAATGGTGGAAACACCTGCTACTGACATTGTTCATTCTTGTTACTAGGGGCTATCCTTGCTATTGTCAAAATTTCTGGGGTAATAAATATTAAATTAATGAAAATGGTGTTTCTTCTCATTCATTATTAGTAATATCAAAGCTGGGCTCGACATTAACGGTTGTCCGCTGGCCCGGGGCAACTAAAACTTTTGTAAAGTACTCTCCTCTGCCTAGTTGCCCGAGCGGGCAAGTGAAAATAAAGCGACACAAATGTAGTCCCCCAATAATAATAACTATTTATTTGGTTGATAAACAAAGTGACGGGTTGTCTGTTCATAACGCATTTTTTTCATTTCCCTGAAAGAAACAGATAAGTCCAACCTTTTGAACTGCCACGAAATACGGCCGCGGTGACAAGTGCTCACTTCATGCGCGCTGCTGTGCGCATCACAGTCAATGTTTTGTCTTTCCCACTGACTGTAGGCATCTTAAATAAAACGGACGTAGTATTACGCTGCCTCCTGCTCCACAATCTTTGCCCAGTCAATCAGAAATGTTCCTTACTGCGAACTGTGCCACTCCACCTCTTTTTTCTGTCTCTCATTCTACCGTCACATCTCACATATCTAGGAAACTTCATGACGCGTCGGAATGAAAAGCGAACTCGAGGCTAAACCCAACTCCAAACATTTGCCATATATTTATCAAGCCTACTCACTAATCTCAGTAATTAGTTCAAATGCATAGGTTATTATTATAGCCCGTGCTTTTGGGAATAACATTCACTGGGGCGGTACCGGGGCGTCTCCAAGCGATCCGTGCGCTCTGTGAGCGGGGCGTGTGTCACCGGAGGACCACGCGGCGTGACATTAAACCCGCTTCTCTACTTCAGTCCTCATGGAGCCCTGTACGTGCACACTCCCACATCGTGCTGAGATCCATTCATAGAGAACAGTCCTACCTGTGCGCCTCCAGTGCGTCGCTCCAGTGCCACGCGCGTTAATCCCGTGTTTTCTTAACCCATTACGCAGCGACGAGAAGCGCGAACAAGGACCTAAATTTAAGCAGTCCAAACTAAGTCCACAGTAGAGGACCGAGATATGTAGTAGTTTTCTTCATAAGTGCGCAAAGGGTATAGTTACAATTTATGTTTTTATGCAGATTAATGGCCAATATTATTAAGAAAATACTTTTCAGTCATTGAATAACTTTATATATATGTTAATTCATTTTTTAAAACGGAGTAGGCTACTATACACGGTTCAGGTATAACTCCAAATGCGCACGCAAATAAACGCACAGCTGATTGTCACGAAGACTGACCTGCGCTTAAGTTTCGCTTTTGTTTCTCGTTTTCAGCACTTTATATAAAAGGCAGCGCATGGAGCATGTGCTCTTATTTTGATTAATAACTTTACGCCTTTACTACGCGGAGGAGGACGGAGAATTATGGAGAACTTTACGCAGATTCTTTTGGATACATCTTTACGCACACGCGCTCCACGCTGGATATATTTACCAATGAGGAGCAAGGTTTTTGCTGAGTTTTTCGGACACTGCAGGCTGTGACTGGATGTGGATTTATTATTACGCACTTTGGCTTTGAGACACTATAAACGCCCCGCACTGGAGACTGGGTGTTTTCGGGTGGATACAAGTTTCACGCTGCACCTTGTTTCTTCAGCTCTTTCTGTTTTACCGGTAAGAGACACACTGCACTTAGTTTGGACATATGTAAGACATGCTCAACATGTTAAACATGAGCGCTGTTTGTGCAGTACATTTGAGCAGAGCGCAGTACTGACGCGTGAACACCTGCACTACTGATACATTGAAGTGAAATTAAAGTGTGTGTTGGCTCATTGACGCGGGCATTTAATGAAAGGGACCGAAAGTGGGCACCGAGCGAACTTTTGTTTTTTTTTAATACCAGTTTTTTAGTACTTACCAGTACTTACCGGGCCTTTTCGGTCGATGCCTACTCGAAACAGAGTTTCGATACCCAACACTATCTGCACAGACTATAGGCTCGTGCAAGTCCAGTTCTATGGTGTACTGGCACTAACATATTTGGAATGTGAAATGTGCAAGTGAAAGTCGGTTTCTTAACCTGTGGGCGAAGGTCCAAGGGAAGAACTTATAAGGCTATATATTTGTGAAGCTCATGAAGCCAAAATGTACTTTAAACATACAGAAAGTAAATCAGAAGTAATGCAAAGTAGTGTAACTCCATTACATATGTGGGGCAATACTGCATTACAAAATGTTACACTGCAAAATGCAATATGTATCACAATTTCAGATTAACTTGCTCATTGGTCCCAGCATTGGTCCCAGATGACAGCAACCAGGACTATAGATGTTCTGTCATATTTATCTATAATCACATTAGTTCTAGTTGTCACCTGCCCATATGGGTCTGACAACCTGAGACACGTTGAGGCACTCTTAGATCTCTGAGTGGATACAAGAGAGAATCGTTTTCATCTCGTATACATACAAATTTGGACACACTTTTTCATTTATGCTTCTTTTTTTCCCTCCATATTTACACTGTGGAGTGTAGTGTGAAATGATTTAAACTTGTTTTATATATTTGAGATTCTGCCCCACTCTCTCAAACCATTTAGTCATTGTGGTCATGTTATGTTGGTATTCATATGAATAAAAAGTTTTTATATGCCTGTGCTAGAGTTCTAGTCAAGACTGCATTAATTGAGGCCAAGACCTGTCCGAGACCTCAGGGTCCTGAGACCAGGACAAGACCAAGACCTCTGAGGGTCGAGACCAAGACCTCTGAGGGTCGAGACCAAGACCACGGCCCATCGAGACCAAATCATGACCATCTTTGTCATTTTTGGCATTTATTTGTATTTTACAGTTATTTTGGCACATTTTTTTTTAGAAATCTATCTCCATTTTATCTGATAAATGTTAATTTAAGATTAAAGTAAGACAAGCAAACTGTACTGCACTGAACACTGCCCTTTTTTAGACTCTCACCCACAGTTTGAGAACCCTTTCTTTAAGAAAACTTCCATTGGTATTTTACACAAAACTGCTTCAAAGTGAATAAAGTGGGTAGGATTTTTAAACCCGTTTTGTCAAGTTTCTAACTGGAGTTACATTCACTTACTGGTTTTGCAGTGGGATTTACCACATTTACCAAACGCATGTCGTGACAAACATAGATACATTTTAGCACTTTTATTAGGCAACCTTCAACCACATGTAGCAGTAGTGCTGCTTTGTGCCAACAATGTAACATAAATTTGGATTTGTTTTAGTATTATTTTTCTAATCTGTGGGCATTGAAGAGGGAGCCCGTTTGTGCTATATGCAGGGAGGAGCGAGAGCGCGAAAAGAAGGAGCAGATGACGTGAGGCAGATGGGCAGGTAGAATGTTTTAAAAAGTTTAACCTGCCCTGTGATACATTCTGGTACGAGAGGGTACACGCTGTTGCGGACAAGGCACGCGCGCTGGGGGCGCACCACACAAACGCATAGGCTGCAGCGAGACACCCCGCACGCCCCCGCACACCCATACAAGTTTATTGCCGATAGCAGTGGCCGTAATGAAATATGATCGCACCTGTCTAAAGTCAGACCTCGAGTCCGAGACAAGACCGAGTCCAAGCGCCTTCAAGACCGAGTCCAAACGTGGTCGAGTCCGAGACGAGACCAATAACTCGTGTAACCTCGCGAAACCACAGCCGTGGCGGTTCTACCGGCAGCTTGCAGCAGGAAGTACACGCGCAGCTCTGGCTCTGTTTCTCAATGAGAAAGACGATCAAACTTGACTGGGCGCGTTTAGCCGCTTGTATCAAGTCTACAGTTAAACTAACAGCTGAACACACTTGTATTTACCTTCTGTACAGGCTGACCACGGCAAAAGCCACGATTTAAATTTTAAAGCTCTTATTAACAGTCTTTCTGGACCTGGGCTCTTTTACATGACACAGATCTGCCCCAGGAGCACGTTGTCCTGACGGTAAAGGCACAAATACAACCAAAGATTCATGCTCTGTGTATTTTGATGGGGATACGCGTAGAGCGTCAAAATTAGGATGGATCCTATTTTCTGAAATCTACGCGTGCAGGACACGTTGCTCCATACGTGCGTCTAGCACCTGCAGTGAAGCCGTCCTCATTCACTTTCCATGCATTCTAAAAGTTAAATGTCCAAAAGTTGCAGTTTTTACGCTCGCATAGAGCGAAATGTGCGTGCAGTCAAGCCAGGCCCTAACAGCTGAACAGACTTGTATTCACCTTCTGTACAGGCTGACCAGGGCAAACGCGAGGATTTCAAAAGCTAATTTTAAAGCATTAATTAACAGTATTTCTGGACCTGGGCTCTTTCACACGACACTGTGGCCATAACGGCTTGTAAAAGCCTGATCCCGTCAGATCTCAGAAGCTAAGCAGGCTGGGCCTGGGTAGTACTTGAATGGGAGACCTCTAGGAATTCCAGGTGCCACAGTGGGGCGCCAGTGGCAAAAAGCTGTCGTTGTGTCCTTAGGCAAGACACTTCACCCACATTGCCTAGTATGAAAGAGGTGTGAGCGTGAGTGATGGTGGTGGTCTGAGGGGCCGATGGCTCAGATTGGCAGCCTCGCTTCCGTCAGTCTGCCCCAGCGCATCTGTGGCTACAGTAGTAGCTCACCACCACTGAGTGTGGAGTGACTGAATAATGAACTGTAAAGCGCTTTGGGTATCTTGAAAGGCGCTATATAAATGTTATCAATCAATCGACACAGATCTGCCCCAGGAGCATGTTGTGCTGAGCCAGGCCCTAAAAAAACGGTCTAGAGTACTACGACACTAACCTGTGCACATATTAAAAATATATAATTAACAGAGCACCATTTTGTTTTTCCGGGCAAGTAAGTCTGGGTGTCGGGCAAGTAAAAAATTATAGCCACTTGCCCGGTCAAGTACTTGTAAATGCTTAATGTCAAGCCCTGCAAAGGGAACTTTTACTTATTTAATTAAAATTCAGAATAAATAGGAAAAGCACTCATGTAAAGAACAGTATCCCTAACTTATTGTGAGTAGTGTCAGTGACTCCTCCTGCAGCATTGAACTAAACAAACACCTGCAGGACCTTCGGTGGCTGGAACGAAGACCAGTGCAATTCAAGTCAATGTGGGGGTGAGTTTGAGATTGACAGCTGTCTTAGCCAATCATATTTCATTGAGTTATGGGCGGGATCATATCGCAACATCTTCCGGGCCTTCAGCGAATACACTGTGAGAGCAAATATAAGCGAGATCACCGTGACGAAAACTGCACTGGACACCTCTATTTGGACGCCTCAGGGGTGTCTGGAAGAAAGAGAAGAAAAAGAAAGACCCGTGCTGGAGCTTGGAGCCCGCGGAGGCTCGAAACCTGCAGCCAGGCCAGAGCCCGGAGCCGGCGGAGGCTCGGACATGTTGCATCTTATGTGGTCAGAAAAAAAAAGAAAAAAGCGTAAAGAAAAGATGTTGTGGTGGACTTTTTCAAAATAAAAGCCGGTGAGCAACAGACGTTTACAATAAAAAAAGTAAATAAATAATAAAAACTGCGTTAATGGCATTAAAATAAATGTCGGCAATAATGAATGAATGAGTTAACACAAAATTAACGCGTTAAACGTGCCGGGCCCTAGTTAGAAAGTCTTCATTTGATACAGCTTAAAAGGTGAGTTTTATAGTCGTGTGTCACTTGAAACAAACCCATACGCTCCTACACATGAGACACACGTGTCTGTGAACACTGCACTCATCAAAAAGTCACAAACAAGGCACAAACCAGGAAACTTCATTCCCCAAGCTTATTAACCAGACTCTGCACCCCACACTCAGTCTCCTTTCTATCCGCAGAGCGACCAGAAAGGAGGGGGGATGAACAGGAGGAGGGAGTTGTGTCTTTCCTCTCGCTCCTCAGATCAGAATGACCGGAAAAAGTCCCCTTTCCGTGATGTCGTTGCTCCATTAATGTGTTCTTTCCCGAGGCACTGGGAGCGCACACAAAGTGCAGCTTTGGCCTGAGCTAGCTTTGGTCAAACTCCAGACTGCCAGACACTTATTTCTGTCATGGAACGAGTTGAGGCTTTAACAGGAGATTAAGCTAGTTTCGGGATTTCGAAATCAGCCTAGACTTTTTAAGCCACTTCGTACCCTTCCCGTTCCCCATATTGTTTAGTATCCACATCTTTGTCAATTTATGAAGATTTGCAGTGCTTGTAGGTTGAGCTTTGGATATAATCACACTGCTAAGGATAGGGCGAGAAATCACTAAAACACTCAAATGTGCATGGATGCCATCTCAAATAGCTTCAGGCATCTTTTCAATGAGGAAACGTTGTAACATGATAGAAAGCTTAAAAAATATCCTCTCTTTAAAGTGGAGGAACATTTCGACCTGACCTGGCTTATCGAGCCCAAGATGGTGTACTTGTACTGTGAATGTTGTGTGGTTCAGGAGTACTAACTGCCTGAGGTATCTGGTGGTACTGAAGCCCTTGGAGGTGACGCAGTTGCTCTGAAGGGGGCAGCACTGAACCACTCTGGGGCTCCACCCAGCATTCGGTCACCAGAGTCAGATCTGAGTCCACGTCCAGCGCCTCCAGCTCAGTGTCGTTATCATCATCTGTGGAGAAGCTATTAAACAAACAAAAGCACAACTGCAGTCAGCACACAGTACAACTACATGTGCAGCAACTATTACTACACATGCAACTACTACAGTGGTCCCTCGTTTATCGCAGGGGTTACATTCTAAAAATAACCTGCGATAGGTGAAACCCGCGAAGTAGTCAACTTTATATTTTGCAATTATTATATCTGTTTTAAGGCTGTAAATCCCCTCAGCACACACTTTATACACTTTTCTCAGACAGGACAACACTTTTTGCATCTTTCTAAAACTTATAGCTGCTGTCGTCCATTTGTTATTGTTATTTATCTGTAATGAACTGAAGATTCATTTATTCCGTACTGGAGCCCTACAGCGCAGAGTCCTGCACGGGTCCATTTTTGGAGACCTGCACCCATGCAGTACAGGACCCACCCATTAACCTGAGATTATATCAAACTTTTGTGCTGCATACGCCACGGACTGAACTAAGACTAAACCCGGACTAACCCAGGACTAACCTAGGACTGTTTCCAGGACTGAAGAGGAGAACTAAACAAGGACTGAACTAGGACTAAACCAGGACTAAACCAGAATTAAACCAGAACTAAACCAGAACTAAACCATGACTCACTGTCGGGATGGGCTCGAAGGTGACCGCAGGAGAAAGGACCTGCGCAGAGCTCCACACCTCACAAAGGTAAGCGCAGCCTTTGCCCGATCGCGCTCTGCGCACACCCTGCTCTGCGGGCTTGAGGTTCTGTCTCTTAAGTCCAGTAGTAGTAGTAGTAGTAGTAGTAGTAGTAGTAGTACTGGGCTGGCCAGTCCTGGAGCACCTTGATCTTCTTCACCTTGAGAAATTTTGATGTAGAGATAGAATTATGCGATGGAGCACCATCCTGCTGCAAAATTTGACCCCTTTTATGGTTGGGAATGTAAGAGGAAGCTAATACTTCTTGATATTTTAGGATATTGATATTGCCTTCCACCCTGCAAATGTCTCGCACACCCCCATACTGGATGGAACCCCTGACCAGGATTTTTCCACCACCAAACTTAACTGTTTTCTGGGTGAATCTTGGATCCATGCGGCTCCAGTAGGTCTCCTGCAATATCTGTGGCGGCTGTGATGTAATTCAACCGAGGATTCATCTGAGAAATCCACCTTCTACCACTTTTCCAGTGTCCATCCTTTTAGCAGGCTGTGGGCCTTGGCAATGCCACACGTTTTTTTAATTGCCTTTTGTTTAGTGCTGGTTTCTGTGCACTGATTCGACCATGGAGGCCATTTCGAGACAGAATTCTACAAACTGTTGTGGTTGACACAGGGACTTGAGGTGACCAGGCCTGGTGGAGTCTGCTGCAGTGGAAAAGGGGCTGGCCTTGGATTTTCGAATCAACAAACGGTCCTCCCGAGCAGTTGTCTTGCGGAGTCTGCCGGACCTGGGCTTGTCAAAAACATCTCCAGTCATTTCAGATCTTTTTCTTATTCTTTGTACTTGATGCTGAGACACATTGAAGGTGTCACCACCTCAGCAGTGGATCTGGTCTTCAGCCTCTTGATAATTAAAGCTTTGGTCTCAGGGTGGATCTTAGGCATGTTGTCAGAGGTCAAGTTGCAGTTGATGTGAAGGTCTGGTGTGCTGGGGTTCTTTTTATACACACCCACTAATTGATTGATCAGTAACTGATCACAGGTGAGGCTGTAATCTAGGATTGGGTGCATCATATGACAAGGCCACAAGACTTTTGTCTTGCCAAAATCTGACCTTGGCCCCAATCTTAGAACTAGCGCAAGTGCTAAAGAGGGGGCGTGTCCAGGTTCTCTAATTCGCTGCCAGAGACTGAAGTGGGATGGTACATGTACATATATGGTGACGGCATCTGGACCAATCTGTGACCACTGTGGCATGTAAAAGCACTGCCAGTGTGGGTAATGTCTGTAATCTTTGCCTCCTTATCAGGCGTCAAATAGGAGTGTGGGGAAAAGTTATGTAAGTGTACAATAAAACATCTCTGGAGCCAAACCAGCAGAGGCACCAGGGATATAGAATTTTGTATGGGCCATGACAGAACTGACTGGGTTTGTGTTCTGAACACTCCGTGCGGTGCGCGTGCGTGAGAGGGGCACACGTACACGGAGTGCTCAGAAAACAAACCCACATGAGCCTTTTATTTCGTTTTTTTACCGCTACACAGCAGACCAGTGTCTGTCTCATGTGCTCCCCATCCCACAGCAGAGCCGCTGCTTTTTCACTCCCGCTCCCGCCTCTCACCTGAGGTACGAGTGACCACGGCTACTACTGCTGACCGCTCACATTCTCGTCTCTCAGGTCCACTGCATTTGGTCCCACACATGTGGAAGTCTCGCAGATTATGGAATTAATTTATTGTCATATAAATGTTTCTGATGTTACCGCTTTGCGCACAGATATGAGATGTGCATCTGCTCCACTGTCACAGCCTCGAGCTGTCAGTGAATGTGCACAAATAGACATCGCAGCATTAGGACCGCAGATAGAGTAAGAAAACACACTTTAGGACATGAGACTGTAAATGGCCTCATGTGAATGAGCAGCTTTTGTACAGATCCAGACCAAACCAAACTATAGAGCAGGAAGCAGGAGCCGATACAGGGAGTGGGCGAGGGGCTGTGCTCTGCTGCAGGAGGGCATCTGGACGACTCCCACACAGCACAGGAACATGTTATGAATGTTAAGCATTTATCATCCTAATATTTACAAATAAAAGAAGCCTTGAGCATGTTACATGTTGTTTTTCAGAGGACTCATTTAATATTTATTTTTACAATTCTGGCAATTCACAAAACGCGCCGCACCTGCCCTCAATCTGCTCCACTCCACCTGATATTCAGGCACAGCACACCTCCTGTTTAGACCTCCATACCCCACACTTGTGCTAGTACTAAGATCGGGGGCAAGATCAGGCCCTATGTGTCATGAGTCTATAATATATATGGGTTTGACTTTCTGAAATTAGTGACAAAAACTATTATATTTATACTTTTTCATAATATTCTATTTTTCACCTTTTTTTTCCACAGTTAGTTGATTAATGGTGGCAGACCTCTGAGCGTCATCATAACACAGTTCCCACTATCACATGCTGCTAGCTCCACCTCTTCATAACTGCTTTACTTTCTTTCTCAATGCTCTTGGCTCAATGCATAATGGTACAAAACTACTCAAACATGAATGAAAAACTCAAAATATGAGTCAAAAGACATTAATAATACCAATAAATCTCAAAAAATCTATTTGGCATAATAATGCGTTTGTGTTTTTATGGAAAATGTCTGCGTGGGAGCATGGGTGACATAGGCTTGTGGGCTGAACTTTGTGAGGCATGTTTCTGATGAGGAAACGCCTTTATAGCAAGGTAGAAATACACAAAAAAGTAGATTTTACAGAATACACCCTCTTTAAAAAAGTAGTGTTTTGTACCTGTCTTTGGTGGCGGTGGAGTGTGGGGGGAACATGATGTACTGGACGATACAGGAGGGGCTCTCTGTGTCCATGTCTGAGGAGAAGCTCTGAAAATACACAGTCACTGCACCAGTCTGGAGTATCTCACAGCATCACCCCCCACTCCTGACTTACCATGGGCAACTCGATCACCATGTTCACGATGCCTTCCCCACTGGCAGCAAAGTGGAAGCCCTCAGACACACGGATCCTAAACACAAGCACGCGGGTCAAAGTTCACTCCCATTCATTTACTTCAATAAGATGAAAATTTGACTAAAATGATCTTAATGAGTTGTTAAAAGGTATACTATACATCACATGCTTTTATTACTAAAATGACCTTGAAAATATGCTCCCTACTGAGAATGAGATTGCCTATCTACTGATCTGACCTGTAACTTGGAGCCATCTGCTCGCCTCCAGGGAGAGAGATTATTTTAATGCCATAGTGTGGAACATTCCTGACATAATAAACATCTCTATACAAGTAGATGGCGGACCCAGTCATAAAAGTTACATAATACAGCTTTAGCAAGATCCTATATTACACAAAAAGGATTCTTGAGGGCTTTAAGCCATGCAATAATGTTGTTACATCCTCAAATGCATTAGCCAGGCTGATGCAATTTCATTTTTCTCCAATGACTAGGTCAGGTGTCAGAATACACTAGATGGTTCTCAAGAACCCCAGAAGTACGAGTTCAGCCAATCAGCGAAGAACCTTCTGTGTTGGCAGTGATTCCTGAGATCGAGGATTTAAAGCCAAAAACAAAGAGAACATTTGGTGAATTTTACCAAGGGGAAAGACAATATTGTCCTTCTTCCTATGGGAATTGGGAAAAGCTTAATATACCAGTTAGCCCCGTTAGCGGTGCATTACATACGTCATGACCAAATAGCAGCGATTAGTTAAATGGAAAAAAGTACCCACCTACCATCGAGCGAATGAATTCTAACGCTGCAAGTTCAGACAGTTTCTACAAAGTGAAACCGGCTGATGAATCAGGCTACAAATGCATACCTGTAGTTGTGTTTTGTTTCATTCACACATGTTTGTGTAATCCTGCATTATTAGTCTGTCTACATCTCCAAAGCTCAAAATGTCCTGTCCCACCTTTTGATGTCATGTAGCGGTAGTTTTCAAGTTAACCACTACTTTTTAGCTTTAGTTCAATAGAAACAGGCAATTCCAGGGCTGAAATCATCAAATGATTCTAGCGAAGGTGTGTGGAATTTAAAAACACAGAGGAGCTCTCCCTGTATTACCACATGATATCACAAGGTGGAACAGAGTGTTTTCTGTTTGAGAGAAGAACTCAGCCTAACTATGCAGGGTTTGTGTGTTTAACATGTGTAAATAAAACAAAATACAACTCCAGGTCTGTTTGTGAAGAACATTATACCATACATCAGAAAACAAGTGTAATATGTGCCCGTAAAGAACACATATGATACATTCTTGTGGCTGTAATTCCCTTTTAAACAAGCAAAAATACAACTCCAAGGTTTGTTAGGGGCTACGACAATATGGTTAAAAGCTCAAAAAAGTGAGTTTAGCATTATATGTGTTCTGTAAGAGTGATAGCTGTAACATGAACCTGGTTTGTCATTCGCTGTTTTATACCTAGTGAAGGTACATGTCACAGAGAATCCTCTAGATTAAGGCATTTAAAGGGCTCATATTACACCATTTTCTGATCTAAGTTATAATGTTGTTTCTCATCATAATCATACCTGGAGTTGTGTTTTATTCCTTTCACACGTTTAACACACAAACCATGCAAATTTATGCTAAATTCTTAGCTCAAAGGGAAAACACTCTGTTCCACCACACAGCATATGGTCATACAGGAAGTGCTGCACAGTGTTTTTAGATTTAATACACCTTCACTAGAATAATTTGGATGATTTTTTTGCCCTAGAGTTGCCAGTCTCTACTAAACAAAAGGTAAGAGGAGTTGTTAACTTGAAAACTACATTTTCATGACATATTATAGACAGACTAATAACACAGAATTACTGAACCATGTGTGAATGAAACAAAACACTACTATACTGTATTTTCCAGGCTATCAGACACGCTCTTAAGCCTCCAACCCCATCAAAAAACGACTGCGCCCCACAATCCAGAGCGCCTGATACACGAATCCACTTGGGTGTCCCAGCACGACTTCAGTAAACTACAAAGCCACACCACTTGCAGTGCACGCAACCACGCACGGAGCAGACAGCGACCGCACAGCAAAAAATGGTAAATGGTCACATTTTTCTATAGCGCTTTTCCACCTTCAAGGTACTTTACAACAAGGAACCACTCACCCATTCACACACACATTCACACACCAGTGTACGCAAACACTGTGGGCAAGGTGGGTTAAGTGTCTTGCCCAAGGACACAACGACAGCATTCATCCGTGGGAGCTGGAATCACACCAGCCAACCTGTGGGTCAGTGGATCTGACCGCTCAACCTGTGATGTTCATGTCGAGAGCTGGAATCGAACCTCCAATCTTCAGATCAGTGGGCGAATGCTCTACCAACTGAGCTGAGAGTGCCGCCTCACTCCACGCCGACGAGGAACGGAAGAACGAACCGAAAAAGCGAGTGCAATGTGCCACTTCTAGACACAACTGAACAACTGAGTCACTGTGAACACACCAACAATCCGTTGGTCCCAGACACACCCTCCCTACACGCCACAACTGAACAAAGCCCAGAGTCACCGTGAACGCCACAAACAAACAAAACCACTCACCCATCACACTGTTGTGTTTCATTTAAAGTCCCACGCGGTTTATTTGTGAAAAAACTTAAAAAATAAATAGACCATTTAATAACAGTGCGCCACATAATCCAGAGGGCCTAATAGCCCGGAAAATACGGTAATATAGTTCTACTTCGTGATTGGCTGTGTTAAAGGTTGTATGGAGGATTTTTTTTGTTTCAAATTGTCAATGATAGCATTATAGAGATGCAGTAGCCTTGTAATTATGATGACCAAAAAAAAAAGAGAATAAAAATTCATCAACTCTGGACGTGGTGGGGCCAGCTCAACATTTGCCAATAGATAACGAGACTGCCTCGTTATCTGTGAGCTGACAGGCTGTCAATCAAACTCCCTACGTTTCTAGCGTAACTGACTTGCCTGCACGCCGCCGGTACGTGGTTTACGTACGCCTGTCACGCAGTCCACAGACGCACAGACGCTGTTTACTCCACCAACACAACAGTTCTTAGCGGCTTTTTTTGACCTATATCTTCCTCGCAGTTAGCACAAAGTTTGTTGCAATGGCGACAAGAATCCAGGAGCAGTTAGCCGCAAAAGAAAGTCCGTTTTTGAGGTCGGTGAAAGAAGAAGACAAGGGGAAAAGCAGCGAAGCCAAACTAAGGTGATTCTTGTAGATTCATTCCAGCGATGGCGCGACTGAAGCAGACGAAGGGTCTAAAGACTGACGCACTGGTCCACAAATTACTCCTGGACAGGTCACTTCTGCTTATTATGAAAACTTACTTTATTTCCAAGAGCTAGTCAAACGTTTTTCAGGACACAAAAGCGATATCCTATGTCTGAAAACGTAATTTTCAAGGCAAAGAAAGAGTCCGCTTGCTGCTGCGTGTTGTAGCTAGTTCATTCGCACTGAATCTCCGTGCACCCTTCTCTGCACCCCTTTCCTGCTCCTCTCCCCGCTGCCCATTCCACTCTTCCCCCTGCTCCTCACTTCTCCGGGCACGGAATCTCCGCGCACCGCTCCCCTCTCCTCTCTCCTCTCCTTGCTCCCCGCTCCGCTCTTCTCCCTGCTCCTCACTTCTTGTCCGCGCACAAAATGTCCGCGCACCCCCTCCCCCCCGCTCCTCACTTCTCCACCTTGCCTAACCAACACTGTAGTTAGTTGTTTACAAGTCATGTGCAGCGCACCGGCTGTAAACAAACCTGTTTCTGGCGTAAGGAGGAGGAGGGAGGAGGTGTTTCTACGTAGGGAGCTGTAGGGGAGGGGGGGTGGTTTCACGCATGCGCAACATTTGAAAAAGGACAAACAGTCGCTGGATTTCTCGTTTCTTGGAAAATCCTCTATACAACCTTTAAGCATGGAACCCACAACCCAAAATATACATGACTATAGGGTCATTCCACACCATTTCACCAAATGACCCACACACCGATCTCAAAAAAATTTGAAAAAATTACCAAATAGTCCCTTACTATTGTGTACCAACCCTGTGAAGTTTTAGTAATTTTTTATCAATACTTTTCAAGTTACAGCTCATTTTATGAGGGGAGTATGTGTCAATTTACGGGCCCAAAATCACATCATTTTTTCTTGGCCTTTTTCACAGGTCGATATCTCCATAAGTATCACACATAGAGGGCTGAAATTTTGTAGGCTTGTACTCCTCTACTCTGTGTTCAAATAACATCTATCAAAAGTTTGGTATCTCAACACATTGTCATTTTATATGAACTTAAAAATGACAAAAAAAACGTGTTCATTTCCGTGGCGTACCATTTTTAGCCCATTTTTAAACCCACTTGTACAGTCCCTGACAAAAGTCTTGTCGCTTATCCATTTTGTAGAAACAAAAGCTATAACCTGACTTTAAATTAATCGATTCGTTTTAGAAAAGTCTCATATGAAAGCTAAAAACCTCCCAAATCATGTTCAATATACTAAAATAAATTTGCTTCTCTGAAGAAAGATTGATCATTTAATGAACACAGAAAGGTCAGATTTTGGCAAGACAAAAGTCTTGTGGCCTTGTCATATGATGCACCCAATCCTAGATTACAGCCTCATCTGTGATCAGTTACTGATCAATCAATTAGTGGGTGTGTATAAAAAGAACCCCAGCACACCAGACCTTCACATCAACTGCAACTTGACCCCTGACAACATGCCTAAGATCCACCCTGTGACCAAAGCTTTAATTATCAAGAGGCTGAAGACCAGATCCACTGCTGAGGTGGCTGACACCTTCAATGTGTCTCAGCGTCAAGTACAAAGAATAAGAAAAAGATCTGAAATGACTGGAGCTGTTTTTGACAAGCCCAGGTCCGGCAGACTCCGCAAGACAACTGCTCGGGAGGACCGTTTGTTGATTCGAAAATCCAAGACCAGCCCCTTTTCCACTGCAGCAGACTCCACCAGGCCTGGTCACCTCAAGTCCCTGTGTCAACCAGAACAGTTTGTACAATTCTGTCTCGAAATGGCCTCCATGGTCGAATCAGTGCACAGAAACCAGCACTAAACAAAAGGCAATTAAAAAAACGTGTGGCATTTGCCAAGGCCCACAGCCTGCTAAAAGGATGGACACTGGAAAAGTGGCAGAAGGTGGATTTCTCAGATGAATCCTCGGTTGAATTACATCACAGCCACCGTAAATATTGCACTAGACCTACTGGAGCCCGCATGGATCCAAGATTCACCAAGAAAACAGTTAAGTTTGGTGGTGGAAAAATCCTGGTCTGGAGTTACATCCAGTATGGGGGTGTGCGAGACATTTGCAGGGTGGAAGGCAATATCAATATCCTAAAATATCAAGAAGTATTAGCTTCCTCTTACATTCCCAACCATAAAAGTGGTCAAATTTTGCAGCAGGATGGTGCTCCATCACATACTTCTATCTCTACATCAAAGTTTCTCAAGGTGAAGAAGATCAAGGTGCTCCAGGACTGGCCAGCCCAGTCACCAGACATGAACATCATTGAACATGTCTGGGGTAGAATGAAAGAGGAAGCATGGAAGGCAAAACCAAAGAATCTTGATGAACTCTGGGAGGCATGTAAGACGCTTTCTTTGCTATTCCTGATGACTTCATCAACAAATTGTATGAATCATTGTCGAACCGCATGGATGCAGTCCTTCAAGCTCATGGAAGTCATACAAGATATTAAATATGGATCTCACAGCACCACTACTTAATTCACTGATGTTATGCAACATATTTTTGTATTTGAAGTAAATTATTTGTTCAATTTTCTGTAGGCGACAAAACTTTTGTCTTGCCAAAATCTGACCTTTCTGTGTTCATTAAATGATCAATCTTTCTTCAGTGAAGCAAATTTATTTTAGTATATTGAACATGATTTGGGAGGGTTTTAGCTTCATATGAGACATTTCTAAAACCAATCGATTAATTTAAAGTCAGGTTATAAGCTTTTGTGTCTACAAAATGGATAAGTGACAAGACTTTTGTCAGGGACTGTAGGTGTAGGAGACCCTTAATTTTTTTTTTGAGAATCAAGATATGTACTAAGACTGTTAAAAGAAATCACCAAATGTTGAAAATTTGAAATAGGTTATGTGTGAGGGTCCTGTTAAAAACAAGAAAACGCAACATGGTCTGAATTTCACATGTAATTTATGGCATGTGGGTAGTGATGAAAAAATTTTGAATAATTTTTCCTTTTACCAAACATATGTATTTTATGAAGCTCCTTCAATTTTTAATTGTATCTTGAACATTCGTGTTTTTGAGGTTTCAGTCATAGTGCAAGACACAATGACACGAGGATACAGTGACCATGTACAATGTTTTATTCCAGCAACTAAGGTCACTAAACATTTAAACACTGAATCCGTTGGTTTGATAATAATTTTGATGGTATTGATTTTGAAAGTATCTGTGACAAGTTATCTGACATCCAAGAAAACAGCAGCAGATTATTCTCATATTAAAGAAACCATCAAGTCATGTTCAACAATATGATATTGTCTTCTCTTAGTTGTGGACGGCACATTGATGTTCAACACTACGCAAACGTTACAATAGATTTTGGTGTACAAGGAACTCAAACATCCGGAAGCAGCCAAGAAGTGAGGATATAGTTCCCTATCATGTTCGGATCACCTGAGCAGGTAAAGAAAGTCTTATGGAGCCTTAAATGGAAAGTGTGAAGGTTGTCCATTTAAGGGAATTTTAGGATTTGTGGGAATTTATCGCATATAAAAAAACATATTCATCTTTATTCTGGGGTGGACCTGTATAGTTCCAAATGCACATTTATTTTGAAGGTTTTTTAAAAAATGTTTATATTTTTAGAGAGCCAGTACATGTTTGGACCACCATGGGACCAAAAGCCTACTCCCAAGAAATTAATGAAGTGCACAGATGAGGAAGCTCCTGATTCAAGTTACAAGGCCACATCCTAGTCAACACAGTCAACTCAACCATCTAAAACCAGTCCACCAGGGATGAAAAAGCCTCCACAGGTTGAGGAGAATTCTGGTGGTCAAGCTTGCGGGGACTGTCCATGCTGCCCGTGACCTCGGCCAGAAAATCCAAAAGCTTCGGGACTGACTGCAGGTTTATGAAGATGTGCCTACTGATACTGATGATGAATGAGACACACATGTTCTGTGTTCTGGGTTTTTAGATAACTTGTAACACATCCTGTTGATTCATTCTCATCCTTTCTTCATGTTTGGGAGCTTTAGCTGCTGGAATAAAACATAGTACATGGTCACTGTATACTTGTGTCAATGTGTCAAATGTGAATGTTCAAGATACAATAAAAAATTGAAGGAGCTTAATAAAATACATGTTTGGTATCATATGACAGGTCTTTTTCTGGTCTTTCAAAGAAAAATTATTCAAGTTTTTTTTACTGCTACCCACATGCCATAAATTACATGTGAAAATCGGACCATGTTGCGTTTTCTTGTTTTTAACAGGACCCTCACACATAAACTATTTCAAATTTTCAACATTTGGTGAACAGTCTTAGTACATATCTTGATTCTCAAAAAAAATTTAAGGGTCTCCTACACCTACAAATAGGTTTAAAAAGGGGCTAAAAATGGTACACCATGGAAATGAACACGTTTTTTTTGGTCATTTTTAAGTTCATATAAAATGACAATAAGTTGAGATACCAAACTTTCGATAGATGTTATTTGAACACAGAGTAGAGGAGTACAAGCCTACAAAATTTCAGCCCTCTATGTGTGATACTTAGGGAGATATCGACCTGTGAAAAAGGCCAAGAAAAAATGATGCGATTTTGGGCCCGTAAACTGACACATACTCCCCTCATAAAATGAGCTGTAACTTGAAAAGTACTGATCAAAATGACTCAAATTTACACATGATAGTAAGGGACCAGCTGGTACATTTTTCAAAATTTTTCAAAAGCATGATGCGTGAGATTTTTGATGAAATGGCGTGGAAGGACCCTATATCTACTACTACTATATCATGTTGAGAGTTTTTGTAAGAGTGGATTCCTGAACGCACTCTGACAGCATGGAGAGGATGTGGGCCACAGCCTGGATGGGCACGGTGGGCCCCTGGGTTCCCTGCACAGCCCACACCCAGCGCCGGTGCAGGAAGTATCGGGTGAGCGAGGCCAGTGTGGAGGAGGCAGTGCGGTTGGCTGCCACGCTGAGAGGAGCCGCTCCGCCACACGGATTCGGACAGTTCTCCGTGCTGAAAACGTACGGTGTCCGGAAGTCCAAAGGCAGCTTCTCATATCTGTGGGAAAACAAATTTATCTCAACTCACACAGTTAAAGCTTAAAGGCCCTGATTTTTACCATCTAAAAAGCAGGAAAAACAGAATCCTCACTTTACCTTATGGAGTGCGAGTACCCTAAGTATTCACCACGATGAGATAATTTAGCTGGCTTCAGAGATGAGAGCGGAGAGTACTGTCAGCTAACAACTAGCATACTAACAGCACACTTCCTGATGATCTGACAATAAAATGCTTTTAGATTAGACAGTACATGGCAATTAATTTTTTATTACCTCAAATTGCCTATGCAATATATCTGTCTATAACTTTGTGGTCAGTTACTTAGACTGACTAAAGCAAGGCTGGGTCATTCCACGCCAATTCTAGGAGGTTCACACATTTTCCAATAGGAAAAGTTCCAAATTTTAGCTCCCAACTCCTTATAGTTTTGTCATTAAAAATATTTTGTCAACTCTGCCCTGACCTTTTCTGAGCAGAGTTGTCCAAGGAGCCACTTTCAGATTTCGGTATCTAAAAAAACTATTTAAGGTAGGTCCTTCAAATTTTCAAGGGTTAAAATTTGGCAAATGTACTTGTAGAATCTGGACTTTTACACATGTGCTTTTGATTTATCACAGATTTCTGGGGACTTGAATTTGCTTGAAAATTCTACTCTTCAAATCCAAGGGCATCTTTGAAGGACTGTGGAAAGTGCAATTTCAAAGACAGAGGTTTGATATTGAACATTCACCTTCCCACACATGCTGTGTACTTTGTATTTTTAAAACTGACCCTCTGTGATGAAAGCTCTACAAGATATTAAGTGTTCAAAATGGAAAAAAATAATTTGGTGCCATCTTTACCATGTTATACCAAAAAAATGACAGCACCCACCAACATAAAATGGACTGTTATAGAAAGACTAGATGTCTGTTTTTAACACATCCAAAATTTGTGATGGTGTTCCGCCTTATTTTTGCAAAATGAATTCTTGAAAATGTGGTGTCTGCAAACATACAGAGCATTCATGGACTATGAAGACACTTTCAGAAGCAAAGAAAACACTCTGAATATTTGACACACAGCTTAAACTCAACAAAAAGTTTCATTTCATTGCAAAAATAAGTCAGAACACCATTACAAATGTTGGATATGTTAAAAACATACATCTATTCTTTCTATAACAGTCCATGTTATGTTGGTGGGTGCTGTCATTTTTTTGGTATAACATGATAAAGATGGCACCACATTTATTTTTTCCATTTTAACACTTAATATCTTGTAGAGCTTTCATCACAGAGGGTCAGTTTTAAAATACAAAGTACACAGCATGTGTGGGAAGGTGAATGTTCAATATCAAACCTCTGTCTTTGAAATTATACTTTTCACAGTCCTTCAAAGATGCCCTCATATTTGAAGAGTAGAATTTTTGACCAAATTTAAGTCCCCAGAAATCTGTGATAAATCAAAAGCACATGTGTGAAAGACCAGATTCTACAAGTACATTTGCCAAATTTTAACCCTTGAAAATTTGAAGGACCTACCTTAATTTTTTTTTTTTTAGATACAGCAATCTGAAAGTGTCTCCTTGAAAAACTCTGCTCAAAACAGGTCAGGGGAGAGTTGACAAAATTTCTTTTAATGACAAAACTATAAGGAGTTGGGAGCTAAAATTTGGGACTGGGAAAATTTGTGTGAACCTCCTAGAATTTTTTCAGTCAAATCTAAGATGGTTGGGCGGGGGTATACGGACATTTGGCGTAAAATGACCCAGCTGTCACTTTGTGCCATTGGCCACTCATTGGCCCCATCAGTCATTCGGACTTAACACTACTGCGCCACTGTGGAATCTTGAATTCTCCCATCCCATTAGCTTCTAACCAGGGCTGCTTAACTTCACAGATCAGACAAGTTGCAGCGTACAGTGAGTCAAGCATTCCTCCATGTTAGCTGACCCACTGAAATCTATCAGTAGCTGTGGAGCAGTGCAATTAACAATCCCCCCCACCCCCCTCAAACCATCCATCCACCCATCCACCCCTTTGGCTCTCTGCACTAAGTCACTCCCCCTCAGAGCACTATTACATTATAATCAACATAATCATTCCCCTAATGAAACTACTGCGCATCAGATGTGAAGCTGTAGTATTGTTATTTTGCATCATGCTTCTATAGATTTATAGCAAATTGTCATGCAGGAGCATGGGTGACGTAGGAGGAGGGTATAGAGTATATAGGGTATAGAGTATATAGGCCCGGGAAAGATTGCTACAATACTCAAACATGGATGGATGGCATATAATGCCACAGGCATGTTTTTGATGAGAGAATGCTATTATATGTTAGAAGGCTCCAGAAAGTCCATTTTAAGCAATACTCCCTCATTACAAGGTTCAAAACAGTTGGGGTGGACACAGGGAGCTACTAGTATGTAGTAATAGTGAGCAGGGCACAGACCTGATGAGCAGCTTCTCCAGGGGCTTATTGAGGACTACCACACAGGGCCGGTCTGACAGGGAGGGCTGGAGGGCCACACTGGAGGGTCCTTTGGAGGGGGACTGATGGACCACAGCTTTCCTCTTGGTCTTTGGCGTTGCCTCCTTGCTTTGAACTCGATGTGGGAATCGCAGTTTGAGGATCTGCTCTTTCAGTTTATCCACAATCTGATGAAGACAAAGTTACAGCTATAGTCATTTCTACACAAATAGATACATGTAATGTTTCCCTTAAAGTGGGAGGTAACACCTACTCCGCCAACAACCACATTTCAAACAGAGCTGCTCAACTGAGCAATACCTGTAGGAGTAAAGGGGAGAATGAGGGAGGAGGGAATAGTGTGATTGGTCTAACCCAGGGGTGTCAAACCTACATCCCGCGGGCCGGATCCATCCCTCCAAGACCTTTAATCTGGCTCTTGGCTGATTTTCTACTAAAATATTTAATTATATTTTCTATTAAAATATTGGTAATTTTCTGTGCCACTTAACATAGCAGCATCTCCAGCGTCTCCGTACGTGGCCCCTCCCACCAGAGCAGCACAAATGAAGACTTGTCTCTTTCCAAACGCTCTTAAAGGACGATCGTTTTGACTGTTGACCAAGACACCCTCATCAGAAAAATGTCCAACATGAGAAAAGTGGAGCCGAGTGCAGGATTTTCCAAGAAAAATGGACTTACTCCTATTTGCAAACAAGTTCATGTTCAAACATTGTTTTGAAATTGCATTTTTCTTAAAGTTTCAGGTTGTTCATAATATTATAATATTTTGTACAAGAGTTCATCAATTAAAAAAGATTTCTGTAATAAATTTGCATTTCTCTGCACAAATATTTGAACTTGTTTCCATTTTTGGGGTATATATGCCATGAGTTTTCTGATCCAGTCCCTTTGGGATCAAAGTAGGTTTGATACGGCCCCCAGACCAAAATGAGTTTGACACCCCTGGTCTAACAGGTATCCACACTTCAAAATCCACCCCTGCAGGCATATGTTTGTATTCACAAACACTTAGTTGTAATCAGGGCAGTCCTGTGTGATGTTACCACATCCTTGACATTACAGTGTCCACTGAGGCCAAGACACATACATTTTATACTTTATTTTTACCACAAATATTTAGTGGATTTAGGTAAAATTCCACTAACTACCTGCTGTACTTGATTTTACTGTCTTAAAAATGTGAAAAACTCTGTGCAGTGTTCAGGGGGAACCAGGTGAACACAACAGGAAAGACCTCGTTCTTACTCCACTCTGGTGTTTTGGTTGGTGATGAAATGGTTTATTCCCTCTGGAAAATCTTGGATGGTGTGAAATGAACTGGCAGAAGACCTTCAAGAGGAAATACTCCAAAATTACCTTGTGTACATTCCCTCAAATTATTTTTCAGGCCAGCGACCCCCAAACTGATGGAGAGCTAGAGCAGGGGCCCCCTACTATATATATATGACATACAGTTGTGTTTCATATTAAATTGGGCCTAGAGCGTGTATAAACAGCTACTCTGTTATTGTACATTCAATACTGGGGGGTATTCCATCTAAGTCGCTTAACTAAGTCCAGGCTTATCCTAGTAGGACGGGAGCCAGGTCCACTCCTCGGGATGTTTTTTTTGCTACCTGTTTTTTTTTTCCCACTATTATTTCCTGTTATCTTATATCTTGGGCCATCACAAATTGATAGGGACAAACCCAACACTCTGCCCCATTTGTTCTCAGGGCCCAAAAAAACTAGTCAGGCTGGTGCCACCTAGTGCCTCCGCTCAATTTCATTTCTCTCCAGCAACTAGGTCAGGAATCAAAAAACACTAGACAGTTCACAAAAACCCCAGAAGTGCAAGTTTGAGCACCAGCCAATCAGCAAAGAGCCATATATTCAGTGTTGTCAACGATTCCCAAGATCGAGGATTTAAAGCCGGAACAAAGAGAATGTTTGGTGAATTTTATCAAGGGGAAAGACGTTATTGTCCTTCTTCCTATGGGATTTGGGAAAAGCTTAATATACCAGTTAGCCCCGTTAGCGGTGCATTACATATGTCACGACCAAATAGCAGCAATTGGTTAAATGATAAAAAGTACCTGTCTACCACTGAGCGAAGAAATTCTAACACTGCGAGGTCAGAAAGTTTCTACGAAGTGAAACCAGCTGATGAATCAAGCTACCAAAAAACACTCTTTTTAGGAAAAGCTATTGGCGATATTATGTAACTGTAAATATTAAGGGTTATTTGACTATTTATGCAGTTGCAGTACCTTAATATTTACAGTTACATAATATCGCCAATAGCTTTTCGTAAAAAGGGTGTTTTTTGAGTTCTGAGACCAAACGGGGCTGAGTCTTGGTTTGTCTCAATCAACTTGGGATGGCCCAAGATATAAGATAACATGAAATAATAGTGAAAAAAAGGCAGCAAAAAACATCCTGACAAGTGGACCTGGTTACCAGCCTATAAAATCCTGAGCTGAAATTTGCTCCATCTCCAGTTTAAGCCTTAACTCATTCAATGACAGAAATAAGCCTCTGACCAAAGCTAATTCAGATCTGAGGCCTGCACTTTGCTCGCGGTGACTCTGGGAAGGCCAGAGCAATGAAGCAACGACATCACAGAAAATGAGCTTAAAGTGTGACTATTTTAAATGATCAGATTAAACGAGATAGGACCCACAAAACACACGCACACAAGTTTACGTGTTTGATTTCGACCATGGAACTTTTCTTGTCATTCTGATCTGAAGAGCAAGAGGAAAAACACGACTCCCCCTCCTCTCCTGTTCGCTCCCCCTCCTCTCCTGATCACTTTGTAGACAGAGAGGAGGCTGTGGCGTGTGGAGCCTGGTTAATGCGCCTGGGGAATGAAGTTGCCTGACGTCTTCCCGATGCGTCATAGTACATGTGCAGCTTAAGTTCCGCTGTGTGTAAAAGTAAAGCTATAAAGGAACTCTTCACATGTAGCCTCGAAGAAACGATAAAATCTGCACTGACGTGTTTGCAGTTTGACAGGGAGTGAGAGATGAGGGAATGAAAAGAGAGACAGAGAGTGATTACAGAGACCACAGACAGAACCCACTGAAAACCAGTTCATCCTCATCCCTCAAAAATTAAGAAATATATATTTATATTAAAAAAAGTCTAATCAATCAAAGATTTCGCAACCCCCCCCGTTGAAGACCTCTGCTGTAGCATCTCAAATGTTCATAGCTAGCCTCTTGCCTTCATGAATACAGGAAAAACAAATTTCACACAGGCCAACAGTCCCTTACTTATGTCCTTTCAACTGCACATGCTGCACTTCTCGGTTGGTTAACAATTATGGTTAAATATGATGATAAAAACTGAGCTAAAAAAACAGATTTTCTACAACTGCTCAGTGTATGAGTTAGGTAGCCCCAAAAGCAAAGCACTTCATTGCCCTGGATCATCTAGTTTTTTGGGAAGTAACTGAATATGTATACAGAAAATACATATTCTTAATACTTATTTTGAATAACTATTCTGGTACAGTTACTCTTTCATTTGGTTGTACTCAGAATGCAAACACAAAATTTATGAGTAAAATAGAGTAAAATGCTCTTGTGAGGCATATGTATTTTTTCCTTTTCCAGTTAGTGAAATGCAGAACAAACAAATATAAAGTTGTTTTTAATCTTATGGTGCATCTTCACACTAATTTAAATGCAACTTTGTGTAAAAGTATTCAGAATACAAAACTCTAATTGGGCCATATAAAAGATTGTGTTACAAAATACAGTACACTAAATACCTGCATTAAAATGTAATTAAATACACTTTCAAAGTATTCTTCCCATCACTGTGTATTTTTAACAGTATATTTCAACATTCACAAGCAAAATACATGAGGTGTATAGGAGGAGGACCATGAGTGGGTTGGGGTTCAGTGATTTAAAAATGTATATTAGCTTAAAATATTGACCTAACACTCCATAAAACAAACCCAAAACCAAATAACTATTAAAAACCCAACAATATACATAAAACCATAAGACCATATACCAATTAAACTTTAAAACCCATAAACCAATAAAACACCTGTCCCTACCCCTGTACAATACATTGGCCGAGCAAAGGACCTCAAGACCTTTTGAGCCTCGTCGTGTGTCTTACCTTGTTCCTGATGTGGGCTGGGGTTCCGATCGGGAAGCCCAGACGCAGTACCATGCAGGGAGCTTTGGAGATGAGGCGTACCAGGTAGAAGGAGGAGGGGGGTTGGTCAGGAGAGCTATGAGATGACAAACAGCAGTCACTAAGTTTACATGAGAACTATGAGTGCACTAAACAACCATATTCAAATGATCTTTACCCCAAAACTTATCACAAACCACTCTTGTCACAGAAAGCCAAAAAAACAACAGGTACAAACAGGGGGCTATGAGGTGCGCAGGGGAATCTAGTAATTTAGCATTAGCACTAAAACTTCTAACTAAATTGCTAACAGAAATTATCATACATATAACCAAACTTTTGAAAGAAATCAGCAAAATCTCACTGACATTGAGATTTAGATTTTCAGACATGAGGAACTGCATTACTCGCAAGTTATTTGATCTCCACAACACAAATGCACATTTAAAAGGTCCTGTATTATGCAAAATTGACTATTGTGATCTTTTAGTCATGTTGGAATGACTAAAACTGGAGTTGTGTTTTGTTTGAGTCACACGTTACAATGCAGTATGAGTAACCTTGCAGTATTAGACTGTCTACATCTCCAGAGCTTAAAATGCTCTGTTCCACCTTGTGATGTCATGAAGCAGTAGTTTGCAGGTTAATAGCTACCTTTTTCACAATGGAGCATTTCCTGTATTACTACATGACATCACAAGGTAGAACAGTGTTTTCTGTTTGAGAGAAGAACTCTAAATATGCAGTGTTTGTGAGTTAAACGTGTGTGAATGAAATAAAACAATGCATTAGATTTGGTTTTGATGAGGAAACGTAACATAGATCAGAAAATGTTCTTTCTTTTGCTGTGGGATTACACAGACAAAATGCTGTTATATGGGCCCTTTAAGGTCTGGTATGTTTTGCTTTCTCTTTAGCCTAACAGTCTAAAACAATGAAACAACCTGTGCTAGTGTGTAGTGGAGGGACTGTAGTTGACTGCAGTTGAACACCTCTCCCAGTCTGCTCCCAAGAGTAACAGTGAGTGAGGAGTCCTTCTGGAGATATGGAGTATGTGTGTTGACTGACCTGTAGATGAGCTTGACATAGGAGTAGCCCTCCACCAGCACAAAGCTGGAGCAGTCACGGAGAAGAGATGTCAGGGCTGAGTGGGAGATGCGGCACTGGATGGTGCTGTAGCGGCCGTTACTTCCAGCCGTGTGCAAGTGCTTTGGTACAGGCCTGGAGCACATAGAGTTTGGTCACAACTTTTCTTTTTGTTTTCCTTTTATTTAATTTCATTTCTTTTAGGAGTTTGAGGTGGGTGGTTACGTTTACTTAACTAACTTTTTAAAGAAATTGTTTTTACCAGCATACTTTTACTCGTAAATTTTTTTTTTTACTCTTATTCCCACAGCTATAATGTAGTTTATCTAATTTTTGGGTTTTTCCTTTGAAAATACCACATTTTGTGCATTATTTAATGTTTTGTCTTTCAAATTGCATTCAGATGTTACCTCCTGACTCATTACATGCACACTAAAATCAGATTCTTTTTGATTGTAGTAGTAGTAGTAGTAGTAGTAGTAGTAGTAGTAGTAAGTACTAATAATAATAGTAGTAAGTACTAATAATAGTAGTAGTAGTACTAGTAGTAGTACTAGTAGTACTAGTACTAGTAGTACCTGTAAATGTAGTGAGGAACAGAGTGACGTACATGTCATGCTCCAGGATGATGGCGATGCGGTGCATGTGAAGCCACCTCTGCCAGAAATTGGCATCCATGGAGAGGATGGGCTTCCAGTAGGCCGCGAACTGGGACTGAGACGAGTCTTTGGAGCCACTGTGCTGCTGGGACAGGACCTGGCAACACAAAGCACCCTTACATCACTCACTCTGGGATCACACAGCTTTACACACACCTGTCACAGTAACATATTTGGAAGCATGATATATTCCTACAGAAAATAAATAAACAATGACACTGAATCAATCATTCAGACCTGAGAGCCTGAGAGTGTGGGAGCAGGTCACAGTAGCTCCTGAAAATTCCCTGACACCTTTTTAAGTTATTGTTGTGTGCACTACAAGACTTTAAGGGCAGCAGTAGCTCAGTTGGTAGAGCGTTTGTCCACTGATTAAAAGGTTGGCGGGTCAGATCCCACTCTCAACCTAAACATCATTGGTTGAGCGGTCAGATCCACTGACCCACAGTTTGGCAGAGTGATTCCAGCTCCCACAGATGACTGCTGGGCAACCCCTAGTGTCTGCATACACTGGTGTGTGAGTGTGTGTATCAGTGTAAAGCACTTTGAGTGCCTTAGAGATGGAAAAGCTCTAGGGCTGCTTGATTATCATGATTATTTTGTTCAATAATGAAATCACGATTATTCAAATTATTATTTTTAGTTACATGATGCGATTCAGTATTTCACTCTCTATAAAAAAAATGATAATTTATGCAAAACTTTCAAATTGAAAATAAACATAGGCTACAAATATGTACCTTAGAGCAGTTTTGTGATATATAAAACATAAACTGAATAAAATATACTCTGAACATGAAATAAGGCATAGAAAAACATAAATGTATCTCTATATTTAAAAAATAAAATAAATATGCTTACTTATTAGGGGTGTAACAGTAACTAAAATATTGTGTTATTGTATAATCACAAGTCTCTCAATATAATACAACATATCAAATCACAAGTTTCTTAGCTTAAATTAAGCTAAAAAAAAACAGACGGAACTACATTGACCACAATCCTTTACTCTGTTTTGGTACACACTACATGAAGAAATAGCAGTTCTATGTATTTTTAAATCTTAGATCTTTGTCTTGTCAAGGCATTAAAAAAGTAGTAGTAGTAGTAGCATATTCACAATTTGGTTAGCCTCCACAAAATATCGGAATAAACACTGTACAGTGAGACGTATATCATGAAAATATTGTATGGAGAGATTTGTATATGGTTACATCCCTATTATTTATATTTAAAAAGACCCATAATAAACTTTGTTAAGTCATTCTGGACAAAAGTAAGTGGTCACAGACTGCTTGAAACAGGTTTCAGAGCCTGGGCCTGTCTGCGCAGGTGAACCTGGGTCTGTCTATGTGTCATTCAAAAAGCTTTTTCTCTGCTGTGTTTAGTCTTCATGGTGTATTTAGCCCAGTGTTGTGCATGAACGAGTTCAAAAGATCGCGTTCATTGAACACGATCAGGTGAAAGCCGCGCACCGATCCATCACTTTCATCAGTTGTTCGGCAGTGTTTACATGCGCAGACCGCCGCCACGCGAGAGAGCTAACGAGAGAGCTAGAGCCAGAAGTATATGAGCCTGGTTCACTTTGTTTACTGCTTGGAATGTTAGCGACAACATGTCTGATTATGACACCGACAATAAAGACTTTGCCTTTACCACAAAGCCAAGGGGAGATCTTTGTGAACCTGAATATACTGATGCCAAATTTCACCAGATGGAGTTAGAACGAGCAGAGAGAAAGAGAAAAGACAGAGAAGTGGTACAAGTTGAAGCTGGAGCCGTGAGAGACCGAGTGAGCGACAATCACCATCACGTCATTTATAAACTCGTATACAGTGAACATAGAGCCGACACTGTGACTGAAGCATGGACGACTAATAGAAACATAGAATCATCCACACGTCCACGTAGCTGCTGACAATAGTGTACGCCACATTTACAATAGTAATAACAGTCGACTTATAATGTTACGTTTTGTAGAAGCTTCACTGGTGATATGACACTGAGTGATTTACTGCACACAGAGTTACAGCTGATTCTTGAACCTGTTCTCTTGTAAACACAGCGGCACTTCTTCGTTCTTACCTGGTTTAGTTTCCACACTGAAGCCAAAGACAAGAAGCCAAAGTTTCCTCAGCGCAAAGTCCGTGACAGGAAACAGTGAAATGTGCGTGGAGATTCAGCCAGATTTTTGTTGTTACAGCCTGGATAATCAAGAGTTCGCACCATTTTTTAGATATATTCATATGTATCTTATACAAGCTCATATACTTCTGGCTCTAGCTCTCTCGTTAGCTCTCTCGCGTGGCGGCGGTCTGCGCATGTAAACACTGCCAAACAACTGAAGAAAGTGATGGATCCGTGCGCGGCTGTCACCTGGCGGCCGCGCGCAGTGGTACGTACGGAGAGAAAATGGCGCCAAGCGATTATGAGATCTGACTTTTTTGGCGAGGATGGTTTTGTGATGCAAATGTATCACTCTTTTGAACACATATTGCTTTGAGAAGAAAAACGCTTTAGTATACAGTCCCCACACAACTTGCCGAACTACTTTCCTCAGCACCAAAACGGGCCAGTATCTCGGCTCACCGGACGCTTTCGGGGGTAAGTCTGTGTGAATGCACAACACTGATGACGGGGATGCCATACAGATTTATGTCAAAAAATCCGAACTATCCCTTTAACAGTTCTTCTGGTGAGAGTAAATTAAAAGTGCTGCAATAGTCGTGTAATGTTTTACATTTTAAATACAGTAATATTGTAATGTAACAAATGACTTTGAAATGACAGTAACAAGTCATAAATAACACATTACAGTTTTAAAGTCACTTGTCCAACAGTGTATCTTGTAAAGTTGTTGTAAACTAGAAGTCAGTTTGAAAAATAAATGCAGCCTTTCATTACAGATCTCATCTAAATATAAAATGAACTGAACTTTGAACTAGTTCAAAATTAAAATTGTGAACTATGAACGTGAACTATTCACTTTGAACAAGTGTGAACTGAACTTTGAACTAGTTCATGAAAAGTGTGAACTTGCACAACACTGATTTAGCCACAGGTAAAAGAAAAGAGCACCACATACAGCACCAGGGGAATGCGTGCGTGCACTCACTAGGCTCCATTCATTTGAAACACACTGTCATGGAAATTAGTTCAGCGATCAGATCACCATGATCCTCTCACGTGCGGGGCTGTGTTAAGGGTGAAAGATGCATGGTGAACAAGACTGACCCAAAATGAAGTAAACAGAACTGAATCCAGACCACAATGGGGTCAACCACAAAGCACAGTGACATGTGAAAATGACCAGAGAAACACACAGATCAGGTCAAAACAAACATGGCAGCTCATGAATTACTCCTGCTAGTCATATTTTTTTTAATATAAAAATAGCAGTAGTCCTACTTGAGTAAAAGTTCTGGTTTGGTGAGTAAGTGACAAAAGCTTTATGCTCAAAATATGAAATGATTTAAACATTTGTGTTTTTTGCGCAGCTCAGATATGTTGTTTTTTTCTAATTTTAGTGTCTATCCTTAGAAAATACCAGAGTTTGTGTATTATTTAATATTTTGTCCTTCAAACTATATTACCCGTGGATCATTATGCTATAATTTGCGCATTTTAAATTGCAATATTAATCTAAATAACAAAAGAACAAAAGAAAACTGTCAAATGGGAGCTGACATTACCATAAACGTCATCAAGACCCAGCACCTCCAACAGACAACTGCAGATCATGATTGTCAGGAGCAGATTTTTTTTTTCATTTGTATTAAAATGATTATGCAATCCAGCCGAATCCTACATGTGTCACCAATTAACAAAATAAAATTGGAGAATGAAGTAAGTACAGAGCAGTGGGTGTATACCTAGGGGGTGAAAAAAGAGATGATCAGCAATATGGAGTTTTAAAAATAAGCGATTCAAGACTTCTCATGCATGAATGACTCCAAATACAACTATGAGAGAATAAATGAGAAGGAAAAAACTAACCTGGTTAAAAGTTATGAAAAGTCAATTTTGCAGAATAGTTGCTTTAACTCTTACTCAAAGGAGGCCATATTCCACTTATGCATTTTCAACATGTCCTAACTTGAGGAAAATGTTCTTACTGGGGTAGTGGAGCCAGGCGGGATGTAGAACAGAGGCACTCCGTTCTTGGTGCTCTCAGGGATGGTGTAGTTCTCAGGGATGGAGTTAAAAGACTGCAGGTGCACCAGCATCTGGTCTGTCTGGTTTATACTGAAAAGCAGACAGGAAAGAGATGAAACAGAACACAGCTAGGCCTGTCCCGATAACACAATCTGAAGAACCATATATCGCTGAAGAAAACAGTGATGATCAATTATAATATTTATCGTCAATGTATGCCATTGGCATAATAATCCTTAAGCAGAATCCCACGCTCAAAAAACTATCTATATGTACTGTATTGTTAAAGAGGGGGTATTACATTTCTATGAGGTGTTACCAAGTTACCCTTATTTTCTTGAAACTGCTAACAACAACTATTAGCTTACAAGAAAAGATATACGACACATCACCACCAACACTGGCAACAGTTCTAAAAGGTGGCTTGCAGCTAGCAGCCCAAACATGTCAACAAGCTAAATACATCTCCTACTGCATTGTCTTCACAAAGAATCAAAAGTGCTAATGTATTAAAGAAGACAAAAATTAACATTTCTGCATTGAGCATTTAGTTACTTCCCAACATTGCTGGTGCCTGGCCTAAAGCGAGAGCAGTTGTGTGAGGTGAGCAGACCTCTGTAGAGTGTTCCAAAAGCGGCGAATGACACAGGTGCGGTAGGGGCTGGTGATGGGCTTCCTCTGGGTGCAGCTGATGTCATGAAGGATGTCATAGCTGCCCTCCATGGTCACCTCCACACGGGTGCTCCTCTTGGCCGGGTCCAGAGGCCAGGGAGCAGACGCTACATACTCAATGTGCATGTTGTGTTTCCATAGCAACACCAGCTTCACTTCCAGCTGGCTCCCGCCTGCACACAGCAATATCAGCATGAATTCTGCCTTTAAAAACAAGTTAAAGCAGACTTATTATGCAAGATGTACTTTTCAGAGCTTTTAACCATGTTATAGTTCTTTCCCTTCTCATTTACCCTCCCAAAGTTTTATTTGGAGTGATTTGAGCATGACTGAACAATCTTTAATTGCTTATTTTCAAGACACCATATCGCCAGTAAACCATAATCAGTCCAAAATTGGGTGAGAGTGAGTGATCATGTGGTATAGGATTGACTGAAGAGGTCAGTTTTGAGTATGGATTTAAACAGAGGAAGTGAGAAGATGCAGAGGTCAGGTGGGTTTAGCCCTAAATAAGACCTGCTGTACAGCAGCCCTGTTATATTGACACTTTGTGGGGTCATGCTGGGCGTGATCTACCTGTAACAGTATGGCAGAATATTCATCAGGTACCATGGTGACACAATGCACATGTTAGCAAACACAGACAAAAAAGTATTAAGATTTGAAAAAGTCTAAAAAATTTATACATAAAAAAAGAAAAACAGATTTTCAGGAGACTGTGATCATTATAGGCATTCATGGTTTTGTTTAAAAAGCAGTGAGAGTGAAAAACCTTGTGCCTGTAATTTAATGTGTGAGACCTGTTTAACAGCACAAATCATCTTATCTGCTGTAATTCCAACCAAGTCAGCTCTTGGTCAAATATGTCAAAATGTGTTGAAACAAAACTCAGATTATAGTTTAACAAAGCCTTAGGCAGAGCAGTGCCTACAGTTTGCACCACAAGTAATGTTGACATTAGCTGTAAAGCCAATGTCAACTGAACAAAAGTTTTTTGATCAAATACTTTTCTCAATTCATCCAAGCTTCTTCAGTTGTGATCCAACGCTGAGGGACATTGCCTTATATCTGTCTGAAGGTTGGAGCTAACTACACTGAAACTACTCTGAAACTAACACACCTACTTGTTTACAGATTGAGATCTGGTGGCACTCGGAAAGTCCAGTGTTTTTTTAGCAGTACTTGGGGTGAAATGTTACAAGTAATACAATACAAACGAGCAGCTGGGTCATACCTTTAGAGAGGCTGACGTCGCGGATGGTGTAGCCCTCACGCAGCCGCACAGACACCACACTCACCAGGTGGGCTTGCACTTCCTTCTCTGTGTGCTTCTTCCTCCTCATCACCAGTGCTGGGTTTCCACTTGCAGACACCAGGTGCTCATTGAACAGCTTGTCCTGCGACACTGCCCACGGGACAAAGAGGACAAATCAAACTGCTGGTCCCGTGTGTAAATGTAGGGACAGACAGGGTCAGAGGATAGGACAAAGCAAGACAAGACAGAGGGAGACACAAGAAAAGACAGGGGGCAGAGGAGGGACATAGGGAGACAGACTGACAGACAGACAGAGATAAGAGAAATGACAACAGCAGAGGAGAGAATGGTAAGCGGAGAGGACAGAAGCAGGCAGAGCATATCAGGAGAGACAGGAAAACAGAGAGGACAGAGGTGAGACAGGTGAGACAGAGGTGAGACAGGTGGTGGGCAGAGGACAGAGAGTCAGTTGGACAAAAAAAACGGAACAGACAGAACAGAACTTGACAGTTGTCCTTACCACTGAAATACTCTGCGTTGGTGGACTCTGGGCTTTTGAGAAAGGAGTAAGTGAGGAAGGCTCGATGGTAGACATTCATGTCCTCGCTGCCAGGGTGCACCTCGGGACAGCTGGGCAGGTACGAGCCAAACGTGGCCAGGGACATGAACTTCATCAGCTCCACGTTGGGGATGTAGCCAAAGCTGCAGTCATACGAGTAGGAGCCACCCACCTGCAGGACACACACACAAAGGCCGAGCCTCCTTGTCAAAGCCTGATCTCGTCAGATCTCTAAGCAGATCTGGGCCTGGTTAGTACTTGGATGGGAGATCGCTGGGAATTACAGGTGCCACAGTGGGACGCCAGTGCCAAAAACTGTTGTTGTGTGCTTAGGCAAGACACTTCACCCACATTGCATTGCATGAAAGTGGTGTGTGTTAGTGTAGGGAGGGGTTGATGCTGAAATTTGGCCTCCACTATCAAGTACTGTGATACTGCACAACTGTCTGGGATAGTGTCATGCAGCTGTTTCATTATAATTATCTCTATCTGCTACTATTTGCCTTTTTGTTATTTTTGCAAATGCGTCATGACAAAGAATCAAGTGTGCAGGATAGTGTCAGGCTGATCCTTACTAATAAAGTGCCTAACTGGACTAAGTTATTACATGAGGAAATGTGATGGAATAGATTAGATTTTATGTCTCAATGTTTTTCTTTTACCAAACAATACATGATAGAAAGAGCATTTATCTGAGCAAGAACAAAATGACAAACAACCATAATTTCCTCCATAAATAACAAAATCTCCAGTCTTATTCTATACAAAAACTGCTAATCTGATCTGTACAAACATTAAATGTGATTCTTGTATTAGTTTGTCAGTTCGGTATCACTTCTTCTGCATGTGTTTAAAATGTGAACTTTGAACAATATCGTATTAAAAAATAAATCAAAATTATAATTGTAATGAACTTGAGCCAGATTTGTACCACCAGCATCAAACCTGTGTCACAATGTGTGCAACATGGCTCATCTAGAACTAGAACTGTAAGTTACTAGCAGAGTCACTGCTGCCCAAGGGTAGTCTGACGAAAGTGATACACACACGCACACACATGCACACACACACACACACAAAATGGACATAGCCAACCTGCTCAAATACAAAATTAAAATTCCACGGTCATATGACCATTGGAAAATTGTTCTAACCCCCTCCATCCCCCTCTCATCCAGAAAGAAAGTTTGCAAGGGGATCATCACTGAGCTGTGCTCTTGAATTCAACCATTGTTCCAGAGTGTGAAACACAGTCAGGAGGATTCAATACATGGAGCATCCTAGTGGCCAGAGTAAGACATGACCTCTGCATGATGGCAGCACTGGGCAAGATCCCATCAGGAAACGCATAGGTGACCTGCCGTACATTTTAAGCCAGAACTTTACGTGTGGGCTGGTATCATCCCAGAGCTGCTGGCGGCCCAATTTACTTTACATTGAGAAACTATCACCCCTCTTTCTGTAACTGCTGCAGTGAGCCTCACCATTTTAGTTTTAAAATGTTCATATTAACCTGCTCTGCATGATCCTGGGGTTTTCATTTCGCCATTTTCTCCATTAATAAAGTTTTGGTTAATTCCTAATATGGAATCGGGCTGCAAATTTTCTCCTATAACCTCTAGAAGTGTGAGTTCCATTTGACTGGAGCCGAACGCTATGGGTGATGTCACACTCCCTTAGTCCACTTCTTTATAAAGTCTATGGTTGTTTTTTGTGAAATCCCTCAGGCGTCCAGATCCATAGCGAAGGAGAAATTTCTCCTAGTCTATGGTTGGTTGAAGTGACTTGCCCAAGAACACAACAGCATGCACTAGTCTGACCCAGGAGAACCAAGCGTGGAACCCAGATCCAAGAGCCCAGAGGTCCCTGTACCTGCACAAAGGAGCACGTGATGGTGCTGCTGCGTAACTGGTTGAGCAGAGTCTCACACATGGCCACATCAGGAACACTGCTCACGCCATCTGTGATCAGGATGATGCCTGCACACAGTCACAACATTTCTCTGTCAAGCGAGCAGTAAGAATAAAAGGGTCAAAGCCTCCACAGTCTTTTGGTGTGACATAAGCTGACCACAATCACAGAATAGCTGTAGGCACCAGAGAGCTCATCCTCAATACTGATACTTCTGATACATTTTATGCATTTATTATTTAATTAATCTGAACATAGCAGTTAGATTGGACAAACATAAATGCTTAGTTTAAAGACATAACAAACCTAACAAGGTTTTACGTTTAATTAGGTTAAAGGTTAATTAATTAGGTTTAGTTTAATATAGAGTTATATACACGCAACCAAAACATCTGAAACAAAAGATTTCAGCCATAGGACTCAACCTAAAAAGGTAGATACTTTAAGTTTAAGACAAGTATTTTCTGAAAATCTTAGAAGTACAGCACTGTTGAAGTGCCTTAGATTTACCCAGTTACATTTAAAGCTAATCAATACCCTTAGGTAGATCTGGTCGCATCCTAGTTCTGACCCAGTACAGTCTTGGTCTTGCATCCATGCATCTATGCATCTATGCATCTATCTCTGTATAAAAAACAGTGTAAGTTTGGTCTCACCTGCGCTGGAGTTGGGGGGCAGCAATTGCAGAGCTAGGATGCCCTGTCGGATCATGCTTACTAGACCCATGTCTGCAGACACCATGGACACTGCACTCTGACTGGACCAGGACCAGGCCTCCTCTGTCTCCTCTGGGCCCAGGGCAGCTGCTTCGGCCTGGAGGCGAGAGGAGTATCATTCTAACCCCTGACCTGGTGTGGAGAAGTCACCACACATGGCCTGTATGGCCTGAAGACCAATACTTTCTTTTCATTAATACTGACCTGCAGGTACTGCTGGTGCAGCACCTCAGCAATGCTATTCTCCAGAGCCCTCAGCTGCTGGTAGATGTTCTTCAAGAACACATCCAGGTCTGTGCGCTCCAGCTGACAGCCCTGAACCAGGACCTGCATGCAAAGGGACAACAGACACAGTGGTGATATAAAGGTTTTGTTTATCGTTTTGTTTTTCTGGAGCATCTTTGCTTTTGTATTTTATGATTTTACAACTTAAAAAGAGTTTATTTTAAAAACAACATTTACAGCTCTCCATCTACTGGCAGCAGAGGTAATTACAAGAAGACATGACTAATGCCAATTAAAAAGGACTTTGAGATATACAAACAAAAATTATGATAAGGTTCAACATTTGTGGATCATAAACTTGGATATTTCTTTCCAAAAAGAGAATCTCTCAGCGATATATAGACCCCTGTACTCCAGCTGAAATTTTAGAGCAGACCTGATGTGAGCTCAGGCCGATGATAGAGGAATAGGCCAGGATAGTGATGAAGATGTTGGGTCGGAATAACTGCTCAGTGCCTGGGACTTTAAAAGGCTGAACCAGGCCTGCCAAACACCGCGACAAAGCGTGGAAGACCTCATCAAAGATCATCTCCCCAGTGCCATCGTCCTGGAGGTAACAGAGAGCACACAAAGTGCAGCACACTTAATACAATCTCAGTGAGAATCTATATCTATATGTATTAGGGATGGGCATGATTAATCGATAAATCGATAATTGATCATTAAGAATTTCATCGATTACGTTAATTTTAATCGACAAACCGAATGTAGGTTGCTGTGTGTAGCGTGACCAAACAGGGGTCTGTACATGTAGCCCTCTGCACTCAGAAGGAGCGAGCAAACACAAGCAGTAGGTCAGCCTGCAGCGTGCCAAAGCACAAATGTGTATTTAACGATGATTTGTACAAGAAATTCCACGCTTTCTGTTGCGTTCGGGACAAGTGGGAGTCCATGTGCACAGTGTACAAAGCAGCACATATGTTTCGGTGTCCAGTGGGAAAAAGCTTTACCGGGTGAGAGTCCCCACCTCCCACCCCCCCATACAGTGTCCTGGTTTTGACAAACGTAAATCTGGTCACACTAACCTGTATTCCACTGAATCATGTCTTTTAATCCGACAGAAATTGACCGCATCAGCAACACAAGAGCTGTAGTTTTATCTTCGCTGAGTTTATGCAAATTAGCGATGCGCTTTTAAGTTTTGTTTCTGTGAGAGTTGCGCAAAACTGAATTAAACACATAATAATGTCAAACGGATTGATGTGGCTCTAGAGTCGTTACGGTTTATATGTCGTAAAGTTGAATTTATTTATGCAAATTAGTAGTGCATATAGTAATAATAATGATGATCATTTTAATATTAAAACGTTAATGATTAATCGATAATCGATCGTTAATTCTTCCGACGATCGATTAAGAAAATTTCATCGAATGCCCATCCCTAATATGTATACTGTGGAGCATTTAGATGGTAATCATCTCCATATAGAGAATAGATCTAGATATATAGATATAGACACTGAAGGTTCTTATGCCCACAGTTTAGACTTGCAGGCAGTTGCAGTAGTTAAGGCTGTCCTGGGTTAGTCCTGGGTTAGTCCTGGGTTAGTCCTGGGTTAGTCTTGGGTTAGTCCTGGGTTAGTCCTGGGTTATCATGGGCACAGGCGGCAATGGGTGGAATGTTAACGGGTCTGGGTGGGTGCGGGTGTCTAAAAATGGACCCGTGCAGGACTCTGGGTAGGGTCATGTTGGTCATGTGCCGTGATCGCGATGGCCCAGCATGCACTGTGGTGGGCCTCAGTACCGCGGTGATTCATTTTTGTGGTTATGGTGACAGCCCTAGCAGTAGTGTCACAGAAATGCTCATCTTTCCCATGAGCGAGGTAAACAGTCTTACCACTATCCTGGTGGAGGGGCTAAGGTCCAGCTGGATGACAAAGCGGTACCTCCGGGCCAAGAAGGAGGCTCTGGTGGATGGCACCAGAACGTAAGGCTGAGCAGAGTCACTGGGCTCGGGCTGCCAGCCTTTAGGCAGAATGCTCAGGAGGTCCAGCTCATTCTCTGAGTGTAACTGGAAACACACATGCAAAGAAAACAGGTTCAACAGCTTCTCCCCCTCCACCTTCTGACCACCACAGGGCAATGAATCTTCCCAATGCATGTGTTATAAAGCCTATATTCAAAACATGCTACAGGTCTCCAGAACAGTTGATAGTCAAAGGTCAATTAAATACAATCAATCAATGAACCTGTCCAGGGACGACAGGTGGAAATTAGCACTGATGCTACAACCTGATGTACAATGCATCTCTCCTGTCACGGTTAATGCGAAAATTGTGCGCTGTCCCTGTCTCAAATAAATAAAATAAATAAATATATAATACCTATCTATCTTTACTTGTTAAGGAGTTAGCCCTTACACTCAAGTGTCTCCTGAGGTAACATAAAGGTAGTAGTAGTAGGTGCGGTGTTACATGTAGGTGGAAGTGTTACCACACATTAGGTCAGAGAAGCTCACCAGCTCCGGAGTAGACACTGGCCAGATGATTTGGTTGAGTTTTCTGAGGAACCAAGCAAGGCGCACATTCCGAGAAATACGATACTCTTCCTTCATCAGCAGAAAGATCTGGTCAGCCTCCTTCACCTGAGAAACCAACCTATGTCACATCCAGCTGTACTTTTCACGTTATAGGAACTGTATGTAAGATTTTGATTTTAAATTTCATAAACTTGACCTATCAGTGTTCAACATGTTCAACTCAAATACAGCTTTTACTGATAACACTTGTAATGCTGATTAGGAATGTAACAAAAACAGAAATATCATGACATCATATCGTCAAATGTTTCACAATAATATCATGGACCATCACATTATATCGAATTACAAGTCACTTTGCTTAAATGAATAGTTTTGGTGCAATAATAGTTAAAAAAAAAAAAAAACAGAGGGAACTACATAGACAATAGATCAGGGGTGTTAAACATCTGGCCCGGAGGCCAGATCCGGCCCTCCAAGACCTTTAATCTGGCCCTTGGCTGATTTTCTACAAAAATATTTTAATTATATTTTCTATTAAAATATTGGTAATTTTCTGTGCCGCTTAGCATAGCAGCGTCTTCAGCGCCTCTGTACGTGGCCCCTCACACCAGAGCAGCACAAATGAAGACTTGCCTCCTTTTTGGGGTATATATGCCATGAGTTTTCTGATCCGGCCCCTTTGTGATCAAAGTAGGTTGGATATGGCCCCCAGACCAAAATGAGTTTGACACCCCTGGTTTAAGTCTATTAAAGGTAATAGAACCTTTCTAGCAGATGGAAAAGTTCCTAAGCTCCACCAAAAATTACCCGTGAGAGCTCATTTTCAAAAATTCAGTTTGAAATGAAGGAAGTTAATAGTAGATGTTTTTATTACTTTAAATTAATCAGAATATGCCAAAGTTTCTCTAGTAAAAATTTGATCAACATCTAACTGTGCGCACATGGGAAACCGAGGGTCCAAAGATGGGGCCAAAAAGATCACATTTGGTCTGTGGCCATATTTGGGACTCTACGCCATCCCCAGGAAAGCTAACAGTAGTGTACGATTTCTGTCAGAAATGGTCATTCTGGTTCAACTGTTAGTTTGTAAATATCTGCTTGGAGTAAATAGATCTTGGACCTCAAAAATTGACAAAAAAAATTGAGTGGCAACCAAAATTGAGATTTTCATAAAGATACCAATTATTTGATTTATTTGATTTAAAATCTATGACCTAAAATCTATCTAATATAAACTTTCAGCTTCCTAGCTCTATTTTTCATGAAGTTATGGTCTCTCAAACATGCTTCTAAATTAAGATTTCTGAAAAAGTGAGTATGACCCCAAAATTTCAAAGGGCCATAACTCAGGAACGACTTAAGGGATTGAGCTAAAATTTGATTCTTTCATTTGGTAATTTTACAATTTTTATTTTTATTTTTTTTAATTCAGCCAAATCTGAGATGGCTCATACGGAGAGTGGCTGATTTCATATGGACTGACCCCCATTTCAGAGTAGACCACATGAAGGAATAACTGTTATAAGCACTTTCAAATCTAGTTAAGTCTTGTCAAGTCATTTTAAGAGGAAAATGTAGCATATTCACAGTTTTGTTAGCCTCCACAAAATATCACAATAAATATTGTACAGTGACACATACATTGTGAAAATATCATACCAAGAGATTTGGATATCGTTACATCCCTAATGCTGATAAATTCTTTATTACTAAAACATTGGACATGATGCCAAGTTGTTTATGTTATAATTTTGTTTTGGTTCTCCAGATGGATATCCAGTGTTGGGGAGTAACGGATTACATGTACCGCCGTTACGTAATCAGAGTACAAATTATGAGTAACTGTATTCCGTTACAGTTACTGTTTCAATGAGTGGTAATTGGATTACAGTTACTTTGCTGAAATAAGTGGATTACAAGGTGGTATTTTGCTGTTTTCACATTTTGTGCTACATCCCATTTATTTATTTTTTTATTTCGGTAATTTCACTCATTGCCTGAAGCCCAAACAGAACGCGCGCAATAAGAGCGATGGAAACGTCATGTTAAAGTTGGCGGTGTCAGTCACACAATGGAAGCAGCAGTGCATTGGTAAAAACGCATTTGTGTCTTGGAAATTCTTCTCCCGATGTGAGATATATATATAAAAAAACAAATATAAAATCGCCTACAACTTAAATGTGAAACCGGAGCTACTGGCACTGGTGAAAACAACCTGCATAGACTCATAATATCTGCACTACTGTCCTATAGTGACCTGCCACATGAGGGGACACACACACAAACACACACACACAACACAAACAAACACCTTCATCATCGTCATCAACCTGAGAACCCGCGGACCACGTCTCCTTCCGTAGTTACAGCGCGGACACCGCCGTCTCGTGCGCCGCGTGTGGACCGTGTTTTCTCGCGTAAACCGCACTTCCTCCTGTGCGCCTCTAAACCAGAACTAACACCAGGACTAAACCAGGACTAACCCAGGACTGAACCAGAACTAAAGACCTGGTCTAGACCAGGTCTAAAAATCAGGACTAAACCAGGACTAAACCAGGTCTAAACAACATGACACCTAACAGTAGGTTGACATAATTTAAGGTGATCTCATATAATTTCTCTATCAATAATATTTTTTAATCTGGTGAAGGAAAGTCTTATCTTGTTTCTGTCTTTTAACAGACAAAACCTCTTATATTAAGATATTGTGGTCTTTGTTTCTCTACAGCAAACAGTTGCTTATTCATGGAGACTTGGGCTCAGACAATTTGAAGACAACAAACAAGAATTTTGAGGATGTGGTTGCTACATTCATGTCATTTAAAAAAACATGACAATATCAAGTAATCCAAAGTAATCAGATTACGTTACTCACTTTAAGTAATTTAATGGATTACGTTACAAATTACATTTTGGGGTGTGTAATCTGTAATCTGTAGGGGATTACATTTTAAAAGTAACCTTCCCAACACTGTGGATATCCAATCAAAAAGCAGAATGAGCCTCATTTGAGTCGCTCATTTGGGTAGGGTTTCAATATTGAAATCCATTTGGCTTGAGCCTAGAAGGACTCTCTCTCTGATCTAAATGGTCACTGCTACCCCGACAGAGAAAAAGAGAAAAAATATATCATCTTAGTTTGCAACAGAGAATACCACACTATCCTGCTCTCACTTCTGCTTTTAGACTGTTTGAAGGAGCTGCTTCCTGTTCACTGACATTTAAGCTTCACATGAGAAAAGAAAGTCACACAGTGATGGACACAGAACACAGAGCAAATAATAAACAAGGCTCTTACATTACCTCCTAAATGAAACTCTAAGATATTTTGAGATATTTTGAAGAGATGCAGATCAGACCACATCAACTGCTTAGACCTAATTTGCACACAATGGCTGTACACATTTATAGAAGCTCTGTTATCTGGAGTCATTATCACTGATTTGCTCCTCACCAGTCAACCACAGCTCACCTCCCTCCAGGAGGCCCATTCATACAGGCCTATCCCAACAACACTGTCTGTGCATGTTCTTACGCTAAAGGTCTTATATTACACAAAACTGATTTTTTTTCCATTCACACTTGTTTGAGTAAAGCTGCATTAACAGACTGTCTACTCTCAAAATGCTCTATATTGTAATGTCATGAAGCAATAGTTTTCAATTAACAGCTATCTTTATTTAGGTGGAGGCTAGCAGTGGAGGTCTGAAATCATCAAATGATGTTTGGCTGTGTCACTTTAGTGGCTAGATACTGTACTTCCATAGCCAATTGGCCATAATACTTTATTTTCCAAATTCAGATGTTGATCTGTCTTAACGCAGTAAAGAAATACACATACTAAAGTAGTAGGCTACTAAGGCAGGACTAAACAGGGAACAAGCCTAAACCTCGCTGAACGAACGTGTGATGACCCTGTCCGTCCTCAGCCTGAATAGATCATGGGGCAGACCATGGGGTGGACATGATGGTAAACACGGGGCACATGCGCGCCTGTCCCGCCCGGTGAAAACACACTTACCTCGGCCTCTGCTCTTTGCGCCATGGCGATCCTTTCTCATGTGCACCCCGTGGCGGAGAAGCGCGGGGGTCGACGCGTATCGCCTGTATCGGTCCGTATCGGCGCTTATCGTCCGTACTAGAATCAAAGTGCCAAAGTGCCCCTTTTCTGTTTGGGTGCTGCTTCTTCTTCTGGCACTTTTATGGCGAATAGCAAACTTTAAGAAGCGCATTGCCGCCACCTACTGGATGTGTTTGTCAGTACTGTGTGTTCTGAACATGGATCTAAAGGACTCCCCAAATCCTCCTGCATGTGCCGTAAAAGTCCGTTTTTACCCATTCTTTTATTGTGTACTATAAATGTTTGTATGTCATTGAAATTGAAATGATATATGTGGGAGAAACAGTGGACAAATTTCACCATATTCCTACTGTAAAGGTTAAAGGAACTATTTTTTAAATAAAATAATTCATCAGTACTAGCGAATTCTCTGGGGTTTCTGAGTTTTCACATGAGGCATGGCCTTATACAAGCTATGGTCCATACTGAGAATGAGAAAAACTGATAGGATGTGTCCGCTATCTGCAGGTTAAGGCTCTGACAATGTATTATTTAAATAATACAGAGAGCAGCAGGAATAACCATTGGATTTTATTTTAGAGCCAGGCAGCAGGTACCCGGGAGGTGGCGGTAGCGCACTCTCGCATCCTCCACCAGTCAGCTGATCCCGGGGAGGAAGCTACAGATGTCAGCAGAAGGAAACCTGTACGCGGATCGAACAACTGGAGGACAACACCGCGATTACCAGAGCCGTGGAGGATACAGGTACATAGCGCGCGTAAGTATCCGAAGGACAGGAGCTCAGAGCGGCCAGTATGAGGAGGGAGGGCAGGCTTCTATGGTGTAATGAATGGGACTCGTACTAGCAAACAGTGATCACTAAAAACAGCAGTCTCAGTTGAAACGGGTTTCTTGACTGGAAGTGTCTGGCTCTTCTTCAGAATCCAAATCACACCAGTTATGATCCTACAGTTAAGGAAAGCAACTGTATGCCCTAAACATAAGGTAAAAGTGTACAAATACAGCTTTGACTGATTTACAATTGCTGAATTTATTCTTAACTTCAAAAACAATGGACATGATGTTGTTTAATGTTAAAATTGTGTGTTTTGGTTCTCAAGATGATTGTCAGAAAGCAGAATGAGCCTCACACGAGTCTCTCATTTGGGTTGCCAGTTTCATTTCAGTGCTGTAATCCAATTGGTTTAAACATTAAAGGACACTCTCTGATCTGAATCATCATTACATCATTAATTAGAGCTAGAGCAAACTCTGCAGCTCACTTAGTGAATTCTGGAGGCATGGTCTGCCCGTATACTGAGAATGAGAAAAACTTGTATGTGTCCTCTATGTGCAGGTTAAGGCTCTGGGATCACAGGTTCAGTTGTGACTGTAGTACCCTTTAAAACTTCTTAAGAGGCTACATACAGTTCCTTGAGTCACTGAGTACACTAATCTCATTTGTCCCAATATCCTGCTCAGCTGTCTCACTGCTGTTGCTGCTCTTCTCTGTTTAAAATAATTCTAAAATTGCAGTCCTGGTTAAGTCTTGGTCTATTCTGTAGTTGTTTGGTTTAGTCCAACTTTTGCCCTGGTGTTTGCACAACCGTCTGAAGTGTCCACTATGTTGTGTTACAGGGACATGAATGCCTTTGCAGTGCTAAGGACCGGGCGCAAGATGCCCCTCATTGGGCTGGGCACATGGAAGAGTGAGCCTGGGAAGGTAAGCCTGTTCTTATGTGAGGCAGCAGAAGGACCACAGTCACAGTCACAATCACAATCTTTTTATAATTATCTCCAATCCATCTCTTTTCACTACAGACATGCCGCCGACCATCAGAAGAATTGAGCTATCAAAAACTAAATTAAGAAAATGTAAATATTTGTAACACAAGAAAATAGGTACAATAAGTAAACCTATATTTTAAATTTAAAATATAGTAGGCCTACCTCATAATATATTCACATCTCTATGCAGTTTTACAACAGTGAGGTATGAACAGAATACTGCAAAAGGATTGAGCTTGATGGTGACAGGCAGGAATCCTTTGTCTCTCAGTGGAGCAGCGTGAGAGTAACAGTGGCAAGCTCTTGTAGCTGACCAGCACATTATGGACTGGAAGGGAGAGTCCAGAGTGGAGTTTCAGTTCCGGAAGTAAATTTTCCATTCATTTTTCCCATATACTTTGTTGTTTGATTGTTGTTCACATTGCAGAAGCTAACCAGCTACATGCCAGTTAATATCCATAACACGGTCCAAAGAAATGTTTTAATAACTTCACCATTTATAAAGTTTCAGAATCAGATTTTGAATAAAATTGTAGGTCTTTTGGTCATTAGTTTCCACATAGGAGATTATACCCAAGCAAGCTTTTGAACTTTATACATTTTTTCTGAACGGCTATGAGAGAAATGCATGGAAAATTTTGTTCTAGAACTGGGGAATTACTGTCAAAGAGTCCAGTCCTCTTATCCCACAATTTTGCCAGCCTTGTTGACTAGTTTGTTGCGTCTGTTACTGTCCCTCACATTCAGAAGTAGAGATGTAGAGTAGGTGTATATATTCTGTACCTCCCACTGTGAAAGAGGTTTGCATGCTCTGTGTGTTACTCTGTGCCCTCTCCCTCAGGTCAAACAAGCGGTGATGTGGGCCTTACAGAGCGGGTACCGCCACATTGACTGTGCCTCTATCTACAGCAACGAGGCGGAGATCGGAGAAGCTCTGCAGGAGATGTTTGGGGCAGGAAAGGTGAAAGTGTCTAGTGTAAACCTCTATGTACGCCATCATTATCAGGCCAAGCCCACTGCAGTTCTTTTTACCTTTTCTATTTCATACTCAAATTTTGTCTTTAAAACAGCTAAGTCATAATGTTCCCTAATCAGAATCACGCCTAAAGAGGGTTCAGATGTCATCCGCATGTTTGAGTAATTTAGAGATTTCTCCCAGGCCCTATTCTTATCCTCATTACAATTAGGTGTAAGTTTCTGTCCAATGCTCAAGCCACATGACTACATCACCCAGCTGCTGCCCAACAATTCTCCATAAATAAACAAAAGGATGATGCAAAACTATACACTCTGTCTGAACAAACCTGATGCAATGTGCAGTAGTTTCATTAGCAGAATGTACACTGATTCTGATGTGTTAGTGCTCTGAAGGGGAAGTGATTTTTGATTAAGAGCACTGTCAAAAACAAAAGTGAAACTTATAAAACATGTTAATATGTTTTGGTGAATTTAGCATTTTCAAAACAATAAAAGGTAATATGGTGATCAAAATATAAATGAATAGCAGTTAATAAACCACAGAAGTAAAATATCCTTTAATTTCAGTAATGTTTCACATTCATAGGGCATTATGAATAGTGCATTGCACATTTTTAATTATCATTTCATTATACACATTAGATAGATTATCTCGAAGGAAATTCATGGCAGGCAACATACAGTATATAATACAATACATAATACATAACATTAATTTATATCAGTTTATTAAATTATAGTCTAGCATTATATAGCCGTATGGCTTGTGGTACAAACGACTTCCAGAATCTTTTCGTGGAGCAGGACAGGGACCACAGCCTGCCCCCAAAGGCGCGCTTCAGTTCGGTAAGGGTGCTGTGCAGGGGGTGCTGGGGGTTATCCAGGATGGACAGGAGGCTTCCTCCCCAGCAGACCACAGCATTGAAGAGGACACATTATTATACTTACTTTAGAGTAATATGTCATATGTGCCCACTAAAGGATTAATGAATTAATCATTGGGTTTATAAAACACCTTTCAATACATCCAAAGCACTTGACAGAGTATTATTCATTCACTCCACACTCAGTGGTGGTAAGACACTATTGGACTATTGACTAAGGGAGACTGCCAATCTGCACCATTGGCCCTTCTGATCATCCCCATCACTCTTGACCAGACCACTTTCATACTAGGCAATGTGGGTGAAGTGTCTTGCCTAAGGATACAACAATGTTTTTTGCCACAGGTGCTCCACTGTGGTATCTGAAATTTGTAACTTCTGAGATCTGATGTGATCAGGCATTGACAAGCCGTATGTTTGAAACATGGCCTTGCCTTTACCATGACCTGACATGATACATTAAGTCTGTCCGTAATTACTATATTCATTTTTCGTTCATCACATAACAGATGGAAGAATCATTTTGGGGCCTCTTTATTTGTTGTGGACATTTTTCTTTGTACTAGTTGGAAAATGTTAGGTTAATTTTCAATACCACCATGACACAAATACTAACTAAACTAAATACAAAACTAATTACAAACTTACTACTTAAGAATTGCATTCTGTTACTTATTTATTGCAGTTCATATTTTTTTTTTTACAATAATCCACATTTAGAATACTTATTTATGATTTGGTTTTATTTTTATTGTTTATCATCTATATTTACTTCAGCAGCATATTACACTTCCAAATGTGTACTGGTGACATGCTTATATCGATATATATTATATGATACGTTGTGTTCTAGGCCCTGAGGCGAGAGGACGTCTTCATCACTTCTAAACTGTGGAACACCAAACACCACCCTGACGATGTAGAGCCCTCACTGCTCCAGAGCCTGAAGGACTTGCACCTCGACTACTTGGACCTCTACCTCATCCACTGGCCCTATGCCTTCCAGTGAGCACACACCGTTTGGTTTCATTTTTGGATCCCATTAGAAAGCAAAGAAAGCAGTGCAATCAGCTAGTCTTCCTAGGTCCATTGAAGTATACAGTCTCCATTTCAAAATGCGTTTTTACATTTGTTTACTTGAGCAATCATCATTACATTAGATTGTTTTTTATTATAATAAAATCACATTTCCTTAAAAAGAATTACAGTTGAGCTCCAGTCGATCTAAAGTGCACATTTTTAGTCCACTTCCAGTGCATTTAGTCTTAATTTAAGACGTGATTAGTCTGTTGTATAACAAGGTGCCCAATGTAACTTTATTATTTGATTTAAATTGAGCCACGGCAGAGTGGAATACATCTGCTCTCTACTAGTTTTAATTGATATTTGAGCAACTTACATGTCTAGCTACTATTACCCTTGTAATCACTTTTCATTCACAAGGTACAATTCAAGGAGGCGTTCTGTGCAGCTCTTTTGACTTGACTTTTTATGAGCTTTTATCCGTGTTACAATGGTTTTCACTTTGACTTACCGCTATAGAACTGAATTATTGTCAGAGGTGGTGGAGTAGCCAAAATTTGTACTCAAAACATAAAGGACAAAACATAATGCACAAAATCTGGTATTTTCAAAGGATAGACACAAAAATGAGACAAACAAAATCATATCTGAAGAAGCAGTGCAAGAAACACAAATTTTCAAATCATTTCATATTGTCAACATACAGCTTTTGTCACTTATAGAATCAAATAAGAGTACTTTTACTTCTCTAAGATTATACAAGTATGTAACTGAGTCCTACCCACCTCAGGTAATTGTCTTGGACAAGAGACAGTGCTCAGAAATCTAGTATTTGCACCTGTCCCTGCCTACAGTAATGATGAGAAAAACATACCAGAAAATGTGTCACATGTATGTTTAAAGCCTGGCAGTAATTTGAAAATGTTGGAGGATGATGTAGAACATTTGATATCAGTTGGGCCCTGGCTAAATCATCTCTGACAAAAGTGACCATGTGTGTTTGGAGGCGAGGAGATGTGTCATTCCCCCGGGCAGAGGGCGGTGCACTGCTCTACGATGACACGGACTATAAGGAGACGTGGGCGGCCATGGAGAGGCTAGTCGAGAAAGGCCTGGTGCGAGCCATTGGCCTTTCCAACTTCAACAGCCGACAGATGGATGACATCATTGCTGTTTCCACTATTCAACCCGCTGTGCTGCAGGTGACACTGCCCCCTCATGGTCCCACACATGACCAATTAGCATCAATTACACATAGAGTACTGTGACTTTTGGCACTGCAGCTGTTATATTTAGAACAGCGATTGCAGCACTATGGGAAATGTTGTATACATTAAAAAGGTACACATGATTTGTGATTGTTTAATTTACCTTTATGACACAAAATTCAGCTTCAGTCTATCAACCCAGACTCCCACAAACCACATCCAAAGCACAGTTTAGGTGAGCTTTATTCATAGAGTGTACCAGAGCAGAGGAACCCACTTTGACTCTATTTTCTCCTTCATTGTGAGCTATTCATCCCCAGAATGACTTGTAACTTCTTTGTCTGAAAGGCCATGGCTTCATGAAGAAAAAAATAAGAAAATAAAAAGAGGTCAATATGGGTATTTTCATGGGTGACTTCTTTTCAGAATCTAGGCAGTGATCTTCAAACTTTTCACAAAGTAACTTTCTGATTACTAGAGATAGACCGAGATATCGGGCTGATATTTGCACTTTTCAGTGTGTCTGCTATTGGCCTTACATCTCCAGTAGGAACAACCTAAGAATACACAAAGCTTTATTTGAACACTTTACTATGAAGAGGACTTTAGGCTGGTGACTTGCCATCTCCACATACAAACAAGGCAATGTGTGTTATAGAGGAGCCAAAGTACTCTCACCACAGTTTGGGAAACACAAGTGCACACGGACATTCCATGTCCATGTCCAGTGGTCCGGTCGTCGAGGCCCCCACCTTCAACCGCCGCCCAGATCTCCATGCACCATGCCCCTATGGATCCCCCCGCGGGTGGTGGGCCTACGATAGGATGGCCCCACGTCGCTCCTCCGGGCTGAGCCCGGCTGGGCCTCGTGGGGGAAAGCCTGGCCATCAGGCATTTGATGGCAAGCACCCACCCCAGGCCTGATTCCTGGATGGGGCCCCAGTAATGCCAATCTGAGGGCTTCTGAACTGCTCTTGGTCTGACCCATCCCCGAGGACCTGTTTGCCTTGGGTGACCCTACCAGGGGCATGAAGCCCTCGACAACATAGCTCCCAGGATCATTCGGGCACTCAAACCCCTCCACCATGATAAGGTGACGGTTCAGGGAGAGGGGAGGGGAGGATGGGAGGATAGAGCGTGAGATTGAGGCAGATTGGTGTAGTTTCTGCAGTGATGCGGTCGCTGTATCGAGCCGTTGTGGTGAAGACAGAGCTGAGCCAAAAGGCGAAGGTCTCGATTTATCTGTCAGTCTATGTTCCCACCCTCACCTATGTCATGAGCTCTGGATAATGACCAAAAGGACAAGATTGCGATAGAAGCAGTCGAAATAAGTTTCCTTCGTACGGTGGCCGGGCGCTCTCTTTAGAGATAGGGTGAGGAGCTCATTCACACGGGAGGAGCTTGGAATAGAGCCGCTGCTCCTCCATGTCGAGAGGAGCCAGTTGAGGTGGCTTAGGTATCTATTTCGAATGTCTCCTGGGCACGTCCCACTGGAAGGAGGCCCCGGGGAAGACCCAGGACACACTGGAGGTACTATGTCTCTCGGCAGACCTGTGGACCTGGGAGTCCCTGCTTAGACTGCTGCCCCTGCGACCTGGCCCCGGATAAGCGGAAAAAAATGGATAGATGGATGGATGGATGTGTGTAGACTGAGCAGACATGTCTGCTGTGCATTGATTGTGCAGGTGGAGGCTCATCCGTACCTATCTCAGGAGCAGCTGCTGTCTCACTGTCAGGAGCGAGGTGTGATCCTGACTGCATACAGCCCCCTGGGGTCAGCTGACCGTGCCTGGAAGCATCCTGACGAGCCCGTGCTTCTGCAGGAGCCTGTTATCCATGTTTTGGCCTCAAAGTACCACAAGAGCCCTGCTCAGATTCTCCTCAGGTCAGGCTTAACACAAGCATCCCACTGGTCACAACATATGTTGCGCTACACAGTTGTAATGGAATTTGAATTGCAATTTGAATGGACGCAATTAGCAAATTGTAAAGGCCGCAGTTTTTTAAGTACCATTAATTTCCACAACAAATGGCAAAATCTCCTGTATTATTCTGCATAAAAACTGCAAACACTGTAGTTTAGATGGGTACAAACATGTTCTGAAATGTAGTTGTTGCATTAGTTTATCAGTTCATATTTCAGTCTTTTTATTTGTTCTTCTGGACATATTTAAAATGTGAACTTTGAACAGAATCACAATTAGATATTTTTCCCAAATCTTTGAGCCCCATATATTTATATAAAAATGTGTAAAATGAAAAATTCAAATAACTACGGAGTGGTTGGCTGCTTTTGTGATAACACTGAGCAGTTAAAACTTTTTGTTTTTTGAGCTCAGGTTTTGACATCATCAAGAGGCTAGCTAAGGACCTCTCTCTCTCTCTCTCTGTCTCTCTCTGTCTCTCTCTGTCTGTCTCTCTCTCTCTGTCTCTCTCTGTCTGTCTCTCTCTCTGTCTCTCTCTGTCTGTCTCTGTCTGTCTCTCTCTGTCTGTCTCTCTCTGTCTCTCTCTGTCTGTCTCTCTCTGTCTGTCTCTGTCTGTCTCTGTCTCTGTCTCTGTCTGTCTCTGTCTGTCTCTCTCTGTCTCTCTCTGTCTGTCTCTGTCTGTCTCTGTCTGTCTCTGTCTGTCTCTCTCTGTCTGTCTCTGTCTGTCTCTGTCTGTCTCTCTCTGTCTGTCTCTCTCTGTCTGTCTCTCTCTCTCTCTCTCTCTGTCTCTCTCTCTGTCTCTCTCTGTCTGTCTCTCTCTCTGTCTCTCTCTCTCTCTCTCTCTCTCTCTCTGTGTGTCTGTGTCTCTCTGTCTCTCTATACTACAGTAGTATTTGAATGTGTGTTGTTTTGTTGTTTTGTCTTGCAGGTGGCAGACACAGAGGGGTGTGGTCGCAATCCCAAAGAGTGTCACGGAGTCTCGCATTAAAGAGAATATACAGGTACACACCTATGTTTGTGTGTGTAAATATAATATCATATCATTAATATAAATAATATAATACAGAAGTTGCACAGACTGTCCAACTTCTCCAGGATGGCATATTTGGACGTGCCATTGCAAGGAGAGTGTGTCTCCAGCACAATCTCCAGAACATGGAGGAGATGTCAGGAGACAGTTACTCTAGGAGAGCTGGACAGAGCCGTAGAAGGTTCTCAACCCATCAACAGGACCCCTATCTGCACCTTTGTGGAAGGAGGAACGAGCTAAGCACCTCCTCAGCTCACACAATCAGAAACAGACTTCATGCGGGTGGTTTGAGGGCCTGAGCCCTGTGCTCACTGCCCAGCACCATGGCAAGTCCACTGCTGGTGCTCTGTGCTTTTCACAGATAAGAGCAGATTCACCCTGAGCACCTGTGTGTTATCTGGAGAAGACAAGGAGAACACTCTGCTGCCTGTAACATGGTTTAGCAGTTTTGTGGTGGGTCAGTGATGGTCTGGGGAGGCAGATCCATGGAGGGACACACCTGGGTTCCTCCTGATGCACAACAATACCCAGCCTCATGTGGCAAGAGTCTGCAGGCACAACCTGGAGGATGAAGGAATTGATACAACTGAATGGACCTCATGATCACCTGACTTAGACCTGACAGAACACGTCTGGGACATTATGTTTGGGTCCATCAGATGCCGCCAGGTTGCTCCTCAGACTCTACAGGAGCTCACTGATGCAGTTACACAGATCTGGGACAACATCCCACGAGACACTATCGAGACACGTCGTCTCATTAGGAGTCCTGACGTCGTCAAACATGCAAACAAGAATGTGGGGACCACACAGGATATACTGAGAAGCATTTTGAGTAAGAAAGATATAAAAGAAATACAATTTTGGCAAAATGGACTTGGCTGCCACATCATTATTTCACTTTGATTTTCAGGGTGTCTATAAAATTAAGCCCTCTGTGTCTGAAAATGTTATTTCCATTAAAAGACGTAGCATCCTTTTATTCCTATGACATTGCCCTGTCTATATGTGTATAGATAACATTTTTTTATAGATATGTATAGATTTTTTTTTCACATTGAGATCTGATGTTTTCACAGTGTTTCTTAATTTTTTTTTATATATAAAAATGCCAAATGATATGCCAGTGGGTTTGGAAGAGCTAGGAACTAATTTTAGCTTTAGGAATCCCAGTTTTATTCATTGTAATAAAGTCAATGTAAAAAGTCCAGGCATGTACCAACTGCTCTGCTCCTGTTGTGTATTGTGTGTGCAGGTGTTTGACTTCAGCCTGCAGCCTGAGGAGATGGACAGCATCAGTGCTCTTAACCGCAACTGGCGCTACATCGTCCCCATGGTGGAAGTGTGTAGTCTCCTGTGTCATGTTGTCCTCCTCTCCTGTTCTCCTTATGGTTCTCTCCTGTGCTCTCTGTTCTCCTTATGGTTCTCATCCTTTCTTGTGCTCTCTGTTCTCCTAATGGTTCTCCTTGCCTGTGCTTTCTGTGCTCTTATGGCTCTCCTCCTCACTCTGTTCTCTCTGATAGGTTCTTGTGTTTTGCAGGTGGACGGGAAGCGTGTTCCCCGTGATGCAGGTCATCCTCACTACCCTTTCAATGACCCGTACTGATCTGGACTGCTGCCTCAGCCTGTGCCATCCTCTCAGCCTGGATTAGGATTTCTATACATCGCACTGTCACTGTGATGAGAGAAAACATGCAAGGGAGGTCCTTTTTTTAATAAAAATTTGTTACATTGTTCTAGTCGTCTCTCTGTGTCATGTAGGGTTGTCAAAACTTAAAATAAGATACTATTCTATGCTAAATCTAGTACCAAAACTAGATACTCATGTGAGCAGGTATCGACATTAATACTAACACACTAAATCACATTCACTGGGCAGATATTCACCTTTCCTAAAACTCCTTAACTACAAATGATAAATAAACTAGCAGTAAGTATAAGATCACATAGAACAGTACACGCCCACAATGGAACCTACCTGGATGACTGAGTGATTACACAGATATATGGCCACGTGGTAATATAACAGAAAGCTCTACCATTTAATCTTGAAAATCTCACACTATTCGAAATAGTTTTAGAAATTTTAGCATTGTGACAACACTAGTGTCTTATATTCATTTCTTATGCTACAGTGGTCATCTGCCAAAAAAGTAAATATCTTAAAGGTGCACTATTATTTCTTTATCTGAAATGTTCTTCAGTATGGCTTGTGCTGCTTAGCTGGGGGAGCCTCTGCAGTATATATTTAACTTGAGTGTGTGTCTGAGGAGGGTCCCTACTCAATAGAAGACATCCTGCATTGTGCCCCACCACCAGCTCAGACTCCAAATCAGCCATGCCCTCTGCAGTTTGCTTATCAGGAGAATGTGGGAGTGGACGATGCTGTGCTCTACCTGCTCCATAGGTCTCTCTCTCTCTCTCTCTCTCTCTCTCTCTCTCTCTCTCTCTCTCTCTCTCTCTCTCTCTTTCTCTTTCTCTTTCTCTTTCTCTCTCTTTTTCTCTTTTTCTCTTTCTCTCTTTCTTTCTCTCTTTCTCTCTTCTCTCTTTCTTTCTCTCTTTCTCTCTTCTCTCTCTCTCTCTCTCTCTCTCTTTCTCTCTCTTTCTCTTTCTCTTTCTCTCTCTTTCTCTTTCTCTCTTTCTTTCTCTCTTTCTCTCTCTCTCTCTCTCTCTCTCTCTCTCTCTCTCTCTCTCTCTCTCTCTCTCTCTCTCTCGACAAAGGCAGTTGTGCTGTGAGGATGATCTTTTTTTGACTTCTCCTGTGCATTTAACACCATCCAACCTCTGCTGCTCAAAAACAAACTGATCGAGATAGGAGTGGGGGTGCATCAAGACTGGTGACGTGGGGGAGTACAGGCAGATCATTGAGAACTTTGTGGTTTAGTGCATGGCTAACCACCTTCAACTGAACACTGCCAAAGAGACGGTGGTGAACTTTAGGAGGAGCAGGCCACAGCTGCAACCTGTGACTATTGAGGGGGACACTGTGGAGGTTATAAAGTCACATGCGGTGACTGTCACTGTTGGATCTCGAGCTTGTCAAGTGATGAAAATTTGACAGCAAACGTAAATATGTCAGATAATAATTTAAATAGAAATGGAAATACTTCATATAGATATCATTCTTAATTGAAAAAAATCTACAAAATGCAAGATGCAGAGGTGTTATTATTTGCCAAAAATCAATTTGAATAAATAGGCCATGACAACTTTTGGGGATTGCCTCATAGGGCCAGTTCAAGTGGTGGGGGGCAGAGATACTGGAGGGCTGGTCAAAGGGTCCCACGTGCCTTAGTTTGATGACCACTGAGTTAGAGCATGGAAATCAGACCGAAGTCCGACGAGTTCGGACAAATATTTAGAACTTATATTCAGGCTCGGGTTGGACTCGGACACATCAGCGCGTCAGCTATTTTCTGTCTACAGTAAAATCGGTCGCTCTGAGACTCTTAAGTGTTCAAAAGATCAGAGCTCTGCACTTGTAGTTTATATACAAGTCAAAACTGTTATTATTATTTGTGAAATGTGGTGCAACGCAGAAGATACATGATTTTTAAACCATAAAAGACTGGCAATAAAGTCCACAGGAAATATACTATGGCTAATCTGCAGCTTCACCTCGATCCATGCGCTGAACAGACACGTGAGAAAATATCACTTTTTTACTTTTAAAGGACAGCGCTCTTTTGAGGACTGGGCTCATTATTTGCTGAGGACAATTTTTATGGATAATGTGGATGAGATGCTGCACTTTAAATTTACCACTTTACGAGAGGCGAGGAATAAAGTCTTCTCATTATTATCCCGAGTTTGTATTTTGCATCTCTGTGTCCTTAGAGCAGGGGTGCTCAATACGTCGATCGAGATGTACCAGTCGATCACCAAGGTCGTGTGGGTAGATCGCCGTGTCTCCTCTCGAACTCGCGTTTGGACCCAGTCTTGTCTCTCACTCAAGGTCTGACACTCAACAAGTGCGATCATATTTCATTACGGCCGCTGCTGTTGGCAATAAACTTGTAGCGGGGTGCAGGAGCATGTGGGGCGTTTCAGTGCAGCCTGTCAGTGTTGGGAAGGTTACTTTTAAAATGTGTTCCCCTACAGATTACAGATTACATACCCCAAAATGTAGTTTGTAACGTAATCCATTAAATTACTTAAAGTGAGTAACGTAATCTGAATACTTTGGATTACTTGATATTGTTATGCTTTTGAAAACAACATGAATGTAACAACCACATCCTGAAAATTCTTGTTTGTTCTCTTCAAATTGTCTGTTGAGCCCAAATCTCCATGAACAGACAACTGTTTACTGTAGAGAGGTAAAGACCAGGAAATCTTAACATGAGGTATTTGTTTTGTCTGCTAAAAGAAAATAAAAAGCCCAGTCTTTACTTAAGCATATTAAAAATATTGATAGAGAAATAATTTATATATGAAATCACTGCTGCCTTAAATTATGTCCACCTACTGTTAGGTGTCATATTGTCTAAACCAGGTTTAGTCCTGCTTTTAGACCTGGTTCAGTCCTGGTTTAGACCTGGTGTAGTCCTGGGTTTAATCCTGGTTTAGTCCTGGTTTAGTCCTGCGTTTAGTCCTGGTTTTAGTCCTGCTTTAGTCCTGGTTTTAGTCCTGGTTTAGTCCTGGTTTAGTCCTGGTTTTAGTTCTGGTTTAGTCCTGGTTTAGTCCTGGTTTAGCCCAAAATGTGAAAACAGGAAAATACCGCCGTGTAATCCATTTATTTCAACAAAGTAACTGTAATCCAATTACTACTCACTGAAACAGTAACTGTAACTGAATACAGTTACTCATAAATTGTACTCTGATTACCTAATCCCAGTTACACGTAATCCGTTACGCCCCAACACTGATAATATAGATTTATTGCAGTTTGTGTTTTTGTAACTTTATTCTACATTTACAGTAGTTTTTATGGATAAACCTGTTGTTGATAAACCTGTTGTCCGCGGCTCGCGGAGGCTCGGACACGTTGCATCTCACGTGGTCAGAAAAAAGTGAAAAAAGTGTCAAACTTAAAGAAACGCTCGCGGTGGGCTTTTTCAAAATAAAAGCCAGTGAGAAACAGACGTTTACAATAAAATAAATAAATAAATAATAAAAACTGCGTTATAGGCGTAAAAATAATTGTCGGCGTTAATGACTTAATTAGTTTACGCAAAGTTAACGCGTTAAAGTGCCCGGCCCTAGTATTTAGTGTCCTTATGTCCAAAGGCTAAAAGTGTGCCTCTTATTTTTCAGGTTTTCGACAGGAATTAGGCTTATGTGAAATTATTAAAAGTAGTGAAAGTGTAACCCAGGTTAATATATACAAATTTGGTCAATAGCGAATATTCCAACGGCGACGGGTCACTAAACGCGTCACGCGCACGATCGCGCTTTCCATAAGTCACCTGCTCCCCTCCCTCCATACACACCCGGGAGTGAGGCGAGACAGGGCGGCTGCGCAGGTATGGAGCTATCATCACAAATTTTCTGATTATATAACATCGGTTGTTCGTAAACTTACGCTTATTTATGCAACGTTTCAGGAGCCCTTACCGCTAATATCTGATGCCGGAAAGACCGAATTAAATGATAGCACAAAGGAATTGGTGAGTCTGTCTGTCTTGTTTGTTGCCGCTAGCATGCCAATAGCCTCCACCGCTTGTTCATGTATTGCAGGCTATTGGTTATGCTAATATCATTTATTGTTCATGTATTGAAATGTCATTTTACTTATTGTGTGGACTGAACTACTGTGTACATTATGAATTAAGCTAGCTAGCAGATGCACTATTAATCACAGAGTTACCGATAGCTATGGTTAATAGCTAATCAGCCCGAACTGGATTTAACTTAGACTGGTACTGTTATTTACCACAGGCCAGGTGATTCTGGCTGAGAAAACCATCCCGATGGCGAGCTGAACCCAGGAACTTTGCCTACAACTAAAGACACACAGGTAGGGGCTGTTGCAGCCAGTCCGCTCCTGCATTATATCTACTCAACCCACGTTTGGACAATTACACGCACACACACACCCTAAAAGACTATATGCACACTTCCACACGAAGTGCGGACATTAAATTTCACGTTTTGGTTTCTGGACAATGATAAGGACACTAACAAAGTGACTTATTCACCACTACTATTTCATATTGTTTCACATGTATTAACCAAACTTGAGGAAATCTGAAGATCATTGTAAAGTGTGTGTGTGTGTGTGTGTGTGTGTGTGTGTGTGAATTTCACTTTTCAATATAAAACACCAACCATAGCTCTGCAGTTTTTGTGCTTTTTATTGTTTCCCTACCTCCCAGAGAGCCACAGCCTAGCCTTCTGTTTTCTAGCCCTGTACCTACACCAACTCCACCCCTTTGTCCCTTGCATACACCTTTTTAGATATGCTACAAAAGCTGCAGTAAAATTGAATAAAAAAACAAAAAAGTACACTAGTAACTTTTTCAGAGTGTAATGCGAGCACAAAGCACATTTGTTTTGCTCTGGAATAAGCACAGAAAGTTAAGAATGTACAAGGGTTCAGATGCTCAGAGGACAGATGTTACAATTAAAATGTGTACTGTACTGTGTATCTTTCCTGGTAGGGGTTTCACCACGCAGTCATGCAGGTTTACACAAGAGGAAATGAAGGAGGGAGACAGACTTATCTCAGACCAGAAAATATGAAACTGATAACAACAAAGAAAGACTTGAACCAGGTCTAAAAGGATGTAACTATTTCAGATAATGGCTGAAAAACATTTACAATTTACAGTTGACAGAATGGCCTTCAATATAGCAAAGAGGGAGGGGAAAATCAAGGGAGGGGAAAATCAAGGGAGGGGAAAATCAAGGGAGGGGAAAATCAAGGGAGGGGAAAATCAAGGGAGGGGAAAATCAAGGGAGGGGAAAATCAAGACTACTGTCAAACCACGCGATTTCACACCACAGTCACCTTCTTGCTCCTCTGGGGTACCCTTGGCCACCTGAGACCTCAAAAAAAGGTGAGCTGAAATTCTGCCTATTGGCTATTTTTTTTTTCTTTACAAGTTTAACTTTGTGAGATAGACAATACTCCTCCTTTTAAATATCATTATTTAATCTGCGTAAAATGAAGGTGCACCCAGGCCTGGTGTTACAGTGTTGGGCGCTTCGCTTGTTTGTCTTCTCTCTCTCGTCGCCTCCGCGCGCCCCCGCCTACCTGATTTTGCTCGCTCGTGTCTCCTTCACTCCTCACTACCACCGTGAACGCCGAAAGTTGGTGCCAGTGTTGCACCCCCGAAATGAGCGACAAGACTCGCGTTCATTTTAACTTTTGGGCACAAAGTAAAGTACAATGTACAATGAAATCATAGAATAAAGAATATTATCAATGAAGTATGCACTGTAAACCCGAATTTGTCACAAAAAAAGATTGCCGTATAATAAAAAAAAATTAATAATTCTACTAAATTAGATTTTATAATTTTTTAATGCATGTATCCAATTTTCAGCACAATAAATTATTTACTTTAATTATTATTAGCATAATTTTTTTATTTAGGCATAAATTATAGTTTTTACTTTACATCTGTTTTTTTTACTTTACAGCTAATTAAGGATTTCAACAATCCATCTGGATAACAATCAGAATTAACTATAACATACAACATTTTTCCACTATTTCATCAAAATTACTTTATTTCAATCATCATTATCTTAACATTTTTAAATACAGGGCTTGATTAGACTAATAATAATTTGCATATGTATGCACATAGCCATGAGTGAAGCTAATGTTTTAAAAGTAAAATAATAATATATGGCCTTTGCATGTAATTAGTCTCATAGCCAATGACAACACAATACAAAACATTTCTTTCTAGATCTGTGGAACTCCCATTATGATCAGGATACCACAAACACTTCAGGACATATAATGCTGCTGCTGCTACTGTCCTCTATCTGGAGTGCCACACATGGCACAACAAAACTGTCCTTCTCACTTCATTATATTCAACAATATAATATCAGATTGCGTTTTTGTCCACATAATGAAGCGGTATGGAGAAGAAGAAACTGCAGCTGTTGGACAAATACCAGGATCTGAAGAAGAGCGGGAAACTGGAAACACCGCAGCAAACGCTAGCACCGCCGCTAACGGTAGAGCAGAGGCGTACACCGGTAAAAAAAAAATATATAGCGGACTATGAGGAGGAACTGCGCCGCTCTGAACACGACAACCAGAGACTCCAGCGGCTCCTGGACTCGGCTCTGAGGGCTATGAGCCCGAGAGTGGTGCTAGTCAGAGCCAGTAAGTCTTATGGATACTATGGATCCTATTTTTAGCCTATGTAAAAAAAAGTATGAAAAATGCATATGATGTAGAAACCAGCTCATTAGAAATGACAGACATGTCTATAACGGCAGAAGAACCTGTAGGAGTTCAAATCACTTCAGATACTGACTCAAATGTATTTACAACTTCATGGAGTGCATTTACATGCACATCAGTATCCCGGGTTTGATCGTTTTTTTTGAGTATTCCGGTTTCTTCATGGTGCATGTATGTGCAGTATCCTGGTTTCAGTATCCCGGTCATGAGAAACTGGGATACTGTAGCTGGTATATTCCGATAGTAACTGGGATACTGTGGCATGTAAACGCAGTATCCCGGTTACTGCAACATGAAGTTAAGTGCGCATGCATCCAAAAGACAAACACTTTCCAGTCTTTTCACCACAACAGTAGCGACATAAAGTGACCCACATAAATAAAGTGACCATACATGAGTGAAATGACTGTAAAATAAAGAGCTGCGCTAAACCTGCACATGTACAATCTGCACTCATGGACAGAAAAGACACCTCATCAGCCTTAAAGTACACTATAGACAACTTCACAGAGTGTTAATGTCACAAGACTGCACGTGTAAGTGTAAGTGTCTCTTGTCTCCTGCAGCTGTCCAGCTCCCCTCTCTGAGTCCTGGTCTGACTCCACACATTAAAGAACCCAACATCAAACAGTAGGAAGACCAGCTGCAAGTGTGAGTCTCAGACACTTTCAAACTGCAATTCTTTACTTTGTTATTCATTCTTCTTCATTTCTTTTAAAAATATTTAGATTGGGTTTTAAATATACAAATGTATCTTCTATTTTTCAGGTCTGTCCCAGAGTTTAGTGCTGTGAGCGTGAAGACAGAAGAATCCTCACTGCTTCAACAAAGACAAACTGAGCAAAGAGGGGACACACAGAGAGAGGACATCAGAACAGAGACACACATCCACTCAGAGACAGAGGGGGAAACCGATCACTCTTCTGAGACTGACAGTGATGAAGACTGGAGAGCTCCACTCAACTGCTCACCTACACACATGGACACAGGGGCTGATGAAGACCACCACAACCAAGACCAGAGGCAGAAGCACCACTGCACAAAACCCACACCTGTCCCCCAAATACAAGTCTACACCAAAGACCAGAGCCACTGTGGACAATGGAGACATGTCAGGAACTGGCGAAGGAGCTAAGAGCAGGAAACACAAGTGCTCTGTTTGTAAAGAGAGATTTGGGTCTAAATATAAACTACAGAAACACAGGAGAGTTCACATGGGAGAGGAACCGTTCAGATGTTCAGTTTGTAAGAAAGAGTTTGCTTTAAGATCTACTCTCAAAAGACACATGATTACACACACACAGGGGAGAAACCATTCAGCTGTTCAGTCTGTAAGAAGGGGTTTGCTGATAGGTCCACTCTCAAAACACATATGAAGAGACACCATAGACTGCATATATAAATAAATATAGCTAAGGACATAGCTAACACACTCTTCCGGCTCCCACTGACCCTGGCTCCCATTGATTTACATTGTAATATTGGGGTCCCTCTCTCTATAGCTGCTGCTGTAAGCCTTGTCATTTTGGTCTTAAAATGCTTGTACTAACCCACTCTATGATTCTGGTGGTGGTGTTTTTTTCCACAATTTTTTTGTTGTTAAAAAAAATCCTGTTCATAATATACAGTGTTGGGAAGGTTACTTTTAAAATGTATTCCCCTACAGATTACAGATTACATACCCCAAAATGTAGTTTGTAATGTAATCCATTAAATTACTTAAGTGAGTAACGTAATCTGAATACTTTGGATTACTTGATATTGTTATGCTTTTGAAAACAACATGAATGTAACAACCACATCCTGAAAATTCTTGTTTGTTCTCTTCAAATGGTCTGAGCCCAAATCTCCATGAACAGACAACTGTTTACTGTAGAGAGGTAAAGACCAGGAAATCTTAACATGAGGTATTTGTTTTGTCTGCTAAAAGAAAATAAAAAGCCCAGTCTTTACTTAAGCATATTAAAAATATTGATAGAGAAATGATTTATATATGAAATCACTGCTGCCTTAAATTATGTCCACCTATTGTTAGGTGTCATATTGTCTAAACCAGGTTTTAGTCCTGGTTTTAGTCCTGGTTTTAGTCCTGGTTTAGCCCAAAATGTGAAAACAGGAAAATACCGCCATGTAATCCATTTATTTCAAAGTAACTGTAATCCAATTACCACTCACTGAAACAGTAACTAACTGAATACAGTTACTCATAAATTGTACTCTGATTACTTAATCCCAGTTACATGTAATCCGTTACTCCCCAACACTGCAGCCTGTGCGCTCAGTGCAGCCCGCGGAGACTCTACGGCACATCACAAATACACACGCTCCCTATGCACGGCTCGTCTGCAACAGCGTGTGCCCTCGTGTACCAGCGTGCATCACAGGGCAGGTTCAACTTCCTAAACATCCTACCTGTCCATCTGCCTCACGTCAGCACGCCGCCCCTCGCCTTTTCACGCTCTCGCTCCTTCCTGCGTACAGCGAACACAAACCCCTCCCACAGTGCGGCTGATTAGAAGAGCAAGATCAAACGTGAAGCAAAAAACAGTCTAAATTTGTGTTCCAGTGTTGGCACAAAGCAGGTCTACAGCATAGAGCAGATCTACAGAACAGACCTACTGCCACATTTGGCTGAAGTTTGCCTAACAAAAGTGCACAAATGCATCTGTGTTTGTCACGATGTGCGTTTGGTTTGGTAAATGTGCAGAGGCTGGTAAATATCACTGCAAAACCAGAAAAGAATGAAACTCCAGTTTGGAACTTTAAAAAACAGGTTTAAAAATCTTCCTTCACTTTTTTCACAGTTTTGTGTGAAGTGCCAGAGGAAGTTCTCTTAAAGAAGGGGTTCTCAAACTGTGGGTGAGGGTCCAAAAAGGGGCACAAAGTGTTTCAGTGCAGTTTGCTTGGCTTTGTATTAGGTAGATCTTTATGACTTGGTCATTTTGTAAGTAGCTTGCAAGCTGAAAAAGTGTGAACACCCCTGCCTTAGAGGAACACAAACAATATTCTCCATGTGTCATTAGGCCTATGAAAATAGTGTGATTTAATTGTGTCGGGTTCAGACACAAACAGCTTAATGCCTATTGGCCTCAGGTCAGATTTAATCACTGCTCTTTTGGACGCAGGTCAGGTTTGGAGAGAAAAATTCATCCCGATCCACACAGCAGTAGCAGTACTTTTTGGGAGGATAGCTTCTCAAAAATATAACTCTCTAGTACTTAAATCCATTTTTGTATTCAATTCAAACTTAAAAACATGGGGAAAAAATCTCACAAGATAATTTTCAGTATGTGTGCACAATCCCCTGGCAAGTTTGTCTCGCAAGATCTTGTCCCTATTAACCAATCATTGTGGAAAACCTTTAATTATAATATACTGCATTATATTATTATGGATTGTATACAGACAGAAATGCATGGTCTGTCCTGCAATACGAAGTGTTGCTAAATGTCTCTCCACACACTTGACAGTTTTTTTTATTAGTTATTGTGCTTTTTTCCATTGATGTTGTATTCTTTCTTATCATTGGCTGTAAAATTGCTGTTGAAATGTCCTGTTCACTTAAAACTACCAGGTATTTAAAATTCAAACTGAAGTTGCTTGTCTCCTTGGCGATGTTATTGCTTTGCCTGGAATGTTCTTCAGTATGACATTAAACTTTTAAGAAATCCATGGAGAAATGACATCACAAGGCCAATTTCAGAGGTCAGATCCACAGAGAGGCGAAGGGAATCAGATCTGTGTGACTGCAAACCTTTCATTCAAATGAACGACGTTCAAACTGTTTCCCTTTCCAGCGGAATTGAAAAATTGTGAAAAAGCGAAGGTGATGGGCCGGATCGATCCACAAGAAGGACCAAAAAGGAAACCTTCGGCTGCCTAAGAAATCATCCCAAGTTTGCAGCGAACATTTTTTATATGGAGCGCCATCAAAACCCTCGCTCAACCTTGGTTACGAAGTTTTACATGTGTTAAACTTTATATCATTTTATTTTTATCATGAAACTTTCTAAAAGCAAGGATATTGATACTACTGAGCATTTCCTGCAGCAATCTAATGAATTCTGTTTCTACATAGTTTTTTTTATTATCATATTTTTTCCCTCCATTACTGGCCAAGGTAACAGAGGGAAAACAGTTCATATAGTAAAAAAAAAAAAATATATATATTATATATATAATATATATATATATATATATATATATATATTTCTACTGCATTCTCCCTGAATTATTCCATACATAGTGTATTGTTTTCATAATTATGGTATTGTATTAGGTTATGGTGGTCTCTTTTTTAGCATTATCTGTAAAAATATACAATATTTTGAGAATAAACTCAGATATTACAAAACATATGAGTGAAGTCTTTGAAATGAATGGCGAGTATAGTTTAATATCATGAATAAATCAATGTTTCAAGTTTGCAGTTTGTTTTCTGTGTGATCATGTTTCTCCCTGTGTCTGGATGGGTTTAATCCAGGTGCTCCGGTTTCCCCCATCAACCCAAAACATACTCCAGGTCTCCGGAACAGTTGATAGTCAAGGTCAGTTAAATACAATCAATCAATGAACCTGACAGGTGGAAATTAGCACTGGTGCTAGTGGCTAGACACTTCACCCACAGTGTGTGTGAGTGATGGTGGTGGTCCGTGGGACCGTTGGCGCCGATTGGCATGGCAGCTGCGCTTCTGTCAGTCTGCCCCAGGGCAGCTGTGGCTACAACAGTAACTTACCATCACCAGGTATAGAGTGAATTGATAATGCTGAATGTAATGCTCCGTAAAGCATCTTTGTGACAAAAAAATGTCTGTGAAAAGCGCTATATAAATAAAGACTTACTTACTTACAGTGTTTGAATGGACATGACTAGCATTGTTGGAACTAGTCATCTCCTAGCCATGCTAACCATGTGCACCCGCTCCGTCGTCGTCAACAAGGACTGGTCTATTACAGACTGTGACTTTAAGATTAGTCTAGTTTCCAAGTATGGAGACATGCGAACTGGAACTTGAATGAACTTTATAATCACTCTTGATTAATACTTTTTGCATATATCATATATATAAATACTGGTTCTTAAGGAAAAGTTAATCATTTAAATAAATGGATGTATTTAATCATACCTTGTGATATTCGATCTTTGAACTGTTGATGAAGGTAAATGAAAAAAAAAAATAAAAAATTTATGATAAAAATTTGCTTGGAAGGACTGACATATTTTATAAAAATAGTTCCCTTTCGTTTTGAAGTAATATTAAGTTTTTGGAAGAAAAAAACTGACAAATTATACAAAATCATGCACCTTCTACTTGTTTGCACAATTTTCCCTCCGTTACTTTTCCCTCTGTTACCATGACCTTTCTTCATAAAAAATCTCATTACTCAAAAATTAAGAGGTTTTTCAACCTAATCTTGAACCATATGGTAGAAAACTATATGAAGCAAATATTCAAACCAGTTTGTTAAGGATATGTAAGTGAGAACCAAGAGTTATCACTGTTTGTATTTATTGCCCAAAAAGTGCTGCATATTTCATTCCCTCCATTACCGACATGAGTTTTAAAATTTTTTGTCAACAACTTGAAAGAATATCACAGGTTTAACTTTACCCTGTTGGAGTGTTAACTCTTTCCTACATTCTGATACTTTACTTATTTCAATAGTCCCTCTAGTTTCTGAATAAGAGCTATTTGAATGTAAAAAGATCTGCCCCTGTTTCCCTCCGTTACCGCCGTTTTTTGTAAACCGAGACTGCTCCGAGGGACACCAAACTTTGGGTGAGTTCCATAAAGGTCCAGTGAAAACCCCAGAGGATCTGGAAATTCAAACCAAGACCTAGGACGAAGAAGAGTCAAAAACACTAGAGACTCCCAATCCAATGGAGGTTCAAATTCTGGAGGTACTAAATGTGACCCAGTCTCTGGACACCTCCAAGAGTCCAGAGGAGGCAGAAACATTAGAGACTCAAGAGGATGTAGAGAGTCCAACGTCAGGAGAAACTAGACTGAAACAACAAAGTCCTGTGGAGAAAGGGCTCCTTGGTATGTTTGACAGCAGTTCAACTGACAACAAATCTCCTGAAAATGACCAGACTCCAGAGCCGCTGGACATCAGCTCAGAGGGATCCGAAATGAAGTCCCACCAGGATGCAGTAGTGCAGACTCTGGAGAAGGCTCTGGACCAGTTCAAAGTCCCAGCTGAAGTTCATATCAAACCAAAGAACATCAAGAAGCTGGGCAAAGCTGCAGCCAGAGACTTGATCCACGAATACGGCTCTGCCATCCAAGCTCTTGGTGATGGCTTTGGGACTGGATGCCACAGACTTCCAGAAGGAAGCCGTGAAACACTTGAACTTCCGGCTCAGAACTGTTTTAGTACGGCTCTTTCCACAGTGGGACAAGCCCAAGAAGAAGGTCTGTTAAACAGCGCCCCTGTGTCCTTTAAGAGTCACTTGTTTGGTGGAGAGGGGTCAAAGGTCACTGGACACTTTTGAAGTTGAGAGGTTTCGCTTCTATCCAGAGCTCATTTTAAGAGTCAAAATGCTGAATGGAAGTTGAAGCGTTTTCATTTCAAAAACTGTTCAGATGAAACCTGCAACTTCTTCTCACAGCAGACACAATGCCTTCATTCAAATGCATTAAAAAAATAAAAATAAAAAATTCCCCCTTCCACCAAATATTGTCATTATCTTTCTTTTATGTCCTTTTCTCTCTTAAAGGGCCCATCTCATGCAAAATAACTCTTTTCACATTGTATCTTCTGCACATAAACAAGCACAATTTGGGTTTTGGAACATCCATTACACAATAGTTCTGAAATCTTACTGATTTCTTGGAGACAGTCACAGACCAGGAACTATGAAAGGCCGACTATTGCTCATCCCCCCGCCCGTCCTGAGAAAACACAGGCTCCGCTCTCCAAACGTGACGTAGGCGACGAGTGAGCCGCCCTTCCTCTACCCATCTCAGGGAGGGAGGGGGAGACAGACGTGCGCCCTGATAGTGGTAGGAATAAACTTTTATTCATCATGGAGTTACAGCGCGTTCAGCCGCATGTGTTGGACCCGGAATCAGACGAGGACTTTGAGGAGCACGAAGCTCAAGCACCGCATCCACATCAACTGAACATTACTGATTGGTAAAGTATTAATAAACACTAGGAGATAAACTTATTATATCGTGTAACTGCAGTGTAGAACAATGAGCTTATGCTGTTGCTTTTGTTTAGTGAAGCGTTTTCTGCTACGTCAAATGTGTTGTAGGTGTATCTGCCGTGTCATAGTTGTAGCAGCTTTAGTTCGCTGTCATGTGGGAGGGTAACAGAAATACACTGCAGTTTGTTCAAAAAATGCCGAATCAATCTAAAATTCACTTCGGCTACATATACAAGGCCCACACATCACTCTTAGAAGGTAGAAAGCTCTGAAAAGTTGATTTTGCATGAGATGGGCTCTTTAAAGCAGCACTGCATAACATTTCTGTAGAGGGCACATCACCTGCATGCATGCCCTGACATTTCATCAAAAATTGTAAAGCAAATTATTTTATTACCTCAATTAATCACAATATTGAATTTTTTAGATCTAAAATTCTCTCAAACATGACATAAATATGAAGGATTCATATTCTAGGGCTTCATTCTTTATATCATACAATGTCCCTGTGTCTCCATGGGTTCATTTTCTGAGTAAAAGCTGCTCACCCTGTAGTTCAGACATCTAAAAATTCTCAAACATGAATGCTATTGGACATGTTTAAAATGTGCACTTTGAACTGAACGTTGGTTTAAAGTATCACAAATACACTTGCAATACTTGTAATAGATGATAAACTGTACACTAAATATTTAACAGACTTGCAGTGACTCGCTGACCTGTAGCTAACCCCTGTGAGGTCAAAGTTTACGGCTGGGGTGAAGTCACATGGGGGTCAAGTTAATGCTCAGAGTCTAGACAAAGAAGTGTCTGCTTCACCATCACATTCTTCATTTACACTTGTCACTTTAACATTATGAATGGCAGAACTCAAGAAAGACTTCTGAGCACAGGATTTGAATGGAGATCAGCTGGGCTTTTTCATCTTAAGATATAATTACATAGAGATATAAGATATACTGTAATTACATAGATAAAGTCATATGTATAATTCATGAAATTGTCTACATGAAACAGCTGTTCACTGTAAAACTGTAAAGCACTGGCAATAACCCTTCATGTACATAAACCTGGTGTCATAATCTGTAACAGGTCTTCAGTGAATTCCTTGGAATCAAAACAGAGTTTGAAATTTCAGTATCCTGACATAGCACCTATCTTTGTAATGAAAAAAGTTTCAATCTAACCCAACTTATACCAACACCCACTCATGAAAAAGGACACATTTTAGACCTTATTTTTACATCAGGTTTTACTATTTCAAATCTAGATATTTTTGACCGTGGTGTATCAGATCACTTTATGATCACTTTTAAATGCGTGCTAACGTGCTCCATAATTAAACCCTTATCTCATAGCTCTACCCGATTGATCCACTCTTCCACAGCGCCATGTTTCTCTGATCTGTTCACTGCCCATCAGCAGTTTGGGGGCCCTGAAGGCCCAAACGCCTGCGCGAACACAGAGGACCTAACAAACAATTTCAACTCTCTATGCTCAGAAATTCTGGACTCTGTTGACCCCAAAAAACCCAGAAGACCTAAAGTTAAAAATACATTAACACCGTGGCTAAATGACTCTACTCGCACATTTAGACAAATGTGTAGAAAAGCAGAAAGAAGATGGAAAAAAGACACACTTCATGTATCTTATGGAATATTTAAATCTTCCTTAAAGTGCTATCAGAAAGTGGTACAGTCTGCGAAAAGTGAATATTTTTCCAACATGATCGAATCAAATGCTCATAAACCTCAAATCCTTTTCCAAACTCTAAACTCCCTACTACATCTCCGTCCTCACACGCCTGCCTCACCACCTCAGTGGACTGTTCAAGAATTTCTTTATGAATAAAATAATCAATATTAGAGCACAGATTATTCACCC